CGAGTGAGGATTCCTGTCCCAGGACCAGAAACCGACCCACTGTCTTCCTTGCCACTTCAATCAGCACAACAGCAGCAATCGTCACCCACACGGGCCGAGTTTCAATCTGCCCTGAAGCTAGTACGAAAAGTGATTGGGACGGAGCGGAGGCTTACGCTCGAGCTCGCTCGGTCATACGAACGAGTACGTCAATGGCGCGAGAGATGGGGCTACTCACCACTCAGCTCAGATGCGATTGAATCGCCTCCTCCCTACTCACCGCCCCGAGAGCCGTCCGCCCAAGCTTCATCTCCTCAAGAGATGCGATCTTCTCCTCGGATGTCTTCGTCCCCCGACCCAGACCCGATCCCGAATCCGCCGATCCCAGGCGACCCAAAGCCGTCAGCCGAAGCTTTGTTCGACGTGGTGAACACCTTTGCGAAAGAGAATGGCTTTGGCATCGTCCGACGACATGCCTATTCCTACAATGGTCGGAGGATGAGGTACTCTTTCCAATGTGACCGATACGGAGAACCACGGCCGAGTAGAGGTACAGGGCTTCGGCTACGCAAGTCTCGGAAGTGTGGATGCAAGTGGATGGTCATTGCTGAAGCTCTAGAAGAGGGCAAGTGGCTCCTAAGACAACACCCAAACCCCGAACACAATCAACACAATCATGGACGTAGCATTAGGCCGTCTGCGCACCCTTCCCACCGACGACTCACTACACCCATCAGGGCTACCATCGAGTCGACGAGCCGTCGGGTCGGTATCCGGGCCCGTGACGTACGGGCTGTGGTCCAAGACCAACATCCCGAGTCAATCTTGACGCAGAGGGACATCTACAACGCCCGAGCTCTCATCAACCGAGACAAGCTGAATGGCTATACTCCCACCGCCGCGTTAATCAAGCTGTTTGACGAGATGGAGATTCCCTATCTCGTGAAGTGGGCGGACGATGAGCCAAACCGTCTCGTTGGCCTTGTCTGGACTTTTCCCTACTGCCTCCAGATGTGGAAGCGGTTTCCCGAGGTGATCAGCTTCGACAACACATACAACACCAATCGCTTCAAGCTTCCATTATTTCAGGCAACAGGACAGACCTGCCTTGGCTCTGTCTTCAATGCTGCTTTCGGCCTGATTGACAACGAGAGACGGGAGGGGTTTCAGTTCCTCTCCGAGAGTATTCGACAGCTCTCAGAGCAACACTCTATTCGCCAACCGGACGTTATCATTACCGACTTCGACGATCAGATGAAGGCAGCCCTGAATGATCAGTTCCCTGATGCACAGCAGCAGCTGTGCATCCACCATATCAATTCTAACGTCTTGCTCAAGTCAAAGCAGAAGTGGGCCAAGGGCCACAGCAGCAGCAGTTCCGACAGCAGCGACGGAGAAGACTCTGCTCCACAGGCACAGGCTGAGCTGAGCCCCAAAGACCGACAGTTGGTCCACGCCCCGACGGCGGCGGTCATCCCTCATAGCTATCGAGGGGTCCTCATGATGTGGAAGCTCGTCATGTTTGCGGAGACTGAGGAGGCTCATGAGAAGGCGTGGAGAAATCTCTGCAATGAGTTTGATGACCAGCGAGCTATCCTGCGGTATCTCCATGGAACTTATATGCCTGTACGGGCGCAGTGGGCGCGCTGTTTCATTCGCAAGTATCGCAACTTCGGCGTCCGCGTCACCTCTGGTACAGAAGCAAGCAACAACAACATCAAGAGCTATCTCCTGAATGGTATGAGCCATCTCTATCGGCTCATGGAGGCTATGCAGGACATGATGAGGGACCAGGAGCGAGATTTCAACGACGCTTGCGCAGCGGACGAGGTACTTACCGCGCGAGAGTACATTGGGCCTAGCGCGGAGTATCTCGGCGAACTCCGGACGGCGCTCTCTTCCAAGGGCCTTGGACTGATCAACAAACAATATCGGCTTGCAAGGAAAGCAATGCCGACCGGGAAGAATCCGTTCCCTGAATCCCTCGGGGATTGCGGCGAGGACTGCTCGTTGTCGATCGAGCTTGGAATTCCCTGCTGCCACAGGATCTACTCAAAGCTGAATAATGGCACGCCTTTCACGAAATGGGACGTCCATCCTCGGTGGCACCTACGAGAAGCATCCTCTCGAGATCCATACCGACGAATCCTCGACCCTAAGATCGCCACTGCTCTCCGTGGCAGACCTAAGAACGCCAAGCAGGCCGTTCCATCAGGGCTAGCCATCGAGACTAGTAGTCAGCCGATTGGTCAACCGGTCGACCAGGGGCCCCCGAGCCGTAGGCGAGGTCGTCCACAGGGCAGCTTGAACAAGTCGACTCAGGCCAGAATGGAACTTGGGACGAGCCGACAGGCCAGTGGCCAAGCTGATGTCTCGAATCAGCGCCAGTTACGCAGCCAGTCGACCCTTCTAGGGACGGGAAGAACCACAGGAGTTCGTGCCAGCGGGCGGAGAACGCAGCCCAGCATTCGGAGACGGAGGAATCAATGGGAGCTGGCTGATGGCGAAGAGGAGATTCTTCCTTCCATAGTAGTAAGGGGAGACGTAGACAGCTTTGGTTATGAAACAGCCCTTGAATACCCTGTACCTGTGAGGGGGGCCGCACCCACTCAATTAGGAAGCACTCGCTGAGTCAGCGAGCGCCCGTCTCTTACCTGTCGCTCGCCTGGCGCTCGCCAATCGAGCGACGGTAAAGCAATAGTCTTGTACGACAGCGACCTTTTGGAATACAGAGAACTTCCCATCGCGTGCCTATTCCGGATCAGTACCTTCTCCTTAACAGTACCGAAAGCAATACTTCTCTTTGACGCCTGTTCTAAAGGGTTAGTGTTGGTCGGGTGCATTTGCGGTCACGAAATCTGGGCTTGTTAAGAGGGCTGGCTTCACCGCCTTTGCTCGGAAGTATTTATGGATCTAGAAAATTTGGCCCAATCAAGTGTTACAAAAAGTCATGCCCCCCTAAGGGTCATGCCCGCGTATCAATTCGTCATGCCCCCCTATCAATTGCCATTTCAATTGCTACCGTCTTGTGGGTGAGGGGCCTTGAGGGTGAATAGCTGTGGCAAGGGCACCGCCACTAATTTGGCATGGTTGGCTGATGGCCGGATGCAGTTATGAAATAGCTCGGTTGGCAACCTTTCGCTGCTCTTCTTGTGCCTTCCTATTCTCCCACTGTTTCTTGATCTTTTCGTACTCTGTGTCTCTCTTTAGTCAGATTTCCTGCTAGCCAAATCAACTCCTTGTTGGACGTCATACCTGCGGATGTCTTCTTCTCCCCATGTTTTTTAATGGTCATGTGGGTGTTGAGATGGTGCAACGTCCCGTAAGACTTATCACAGCCATCCCAGACGCAGACGAACCTGCGCTCAACATCTTCTGGCCGACGACGCCGTCGTTTGTACAGCTTTTCACCAGAGTGTTGGGCAACCGGATAGATCTGCTCGGTATAATTCTTGAAATTACCCAAGTAATTAGCGATTGTAATGTCTCAAAAAGCGGATTGGCGAGCAACCACGTGAAGAGATGCCGTGGCTGCTTCCTATATAAGACAAGGTGACGATTGGACTGAAACAGAACCAAAACCCACCTGGCTGAGACGTTCATGGAGAGTTGATGGCGCTGTATAGGGGTGGAGGTGACCATATATCTCCCTCTCGGTGAGATCTCCAGGACGCACAAAGTTGGCCACTGGGTATTGAAGGTGAACAGGCTGGCCCACTGTCCCGTGGGTGAAAGATACACTGCCATGAGAGAACTGGCGGCTCTGATAAGAACCCTGCCCATCTTGCATCAGCTTCAATGGTTCCACTAGACTTCCGCTGTTACCGCTCGTATCACTCATTGTGGACAGGTCCTGTAGATAACCGAGTGTTGGGAGAGGACGAAGAGACATCGCAGGCTGAGTATATACGTCAATTGGCCGCAGGGACACTGGCTTGGCGTCATTGCTTGATTGCGTAGAGCAGGTTGTAGACGCGCCACTGCTGCGGCTGACTGGCAGAGGCCCTGTTTGCCAATATCGAAATTCCATCAGAGTATTCTTGGAATCGGTCGTTCGTTCGGCGATGGAGTGCGATCCACTGACGGAGCAGCAGCCAGATGGCGATTTTTGTGTGTGAAGAGAGCAACGACGTAAGATGGACAGACAACTGTAGTCGCTTGGCATTATACCTGAGACCAAATAGTTGATCAATAACGGTAGGCGGCGGAAGACTACTTAAGGGAGAAGACAAAGGGGGAGGGAGAGGAGCATACCTATGCAAGACTGGAAGTATTCAGGATCCTGGTTTTGGCAAAGCATAATCTGCCTTGGCTGAGCTGAACTGCAAGGCATAAATGAGAAGTGGCTAAGACAAGGTAAAACAGATTGCAGAAGTGGCGGAGGCGACTGGGGTCAGGAGTGCATTGCTACTGGTATACAAGGGCCGATGCCTAAAGGGGGATGTATGTAACCGATAGAGTTCTCCGAAGGAAATGAACCGGGAGATATTGGAATTAAGAAGATCGAAGCCACTCAGTGGCAAATGAAAGAACTCGCCAAAGATTCGTAGCCTTTCCTAGGGGGCTTATAACACAGGTTCCACGTATGAGTGGTATATATATACTACGAGAGGTGTTTATCAGTTATACCTGCTGAAAGCTAGATAGGATTAGCTGTAAAACGTACGGATCACGAGGATAGATTGAGACAGGCAATGTCGCGGATCGCCACTATCGTAGGCAATGTCGAAAGAAAATAGCCTCAAAACCAGCACGTACAGATACTCTGGTACGTCTGATAGCATTGGAAGCACCAGAATCAGGGATCCGCTCCTCTCATAGTATCTAGCTCGTCGAATCCTCCCTTGCTTCCTCGAAAGATGACGGCGCAGAGGTAATCCCGACTGCAGTCATTATGACGAGCCGCGTTCACCATCTGCTTACAACTGCCAGTAGTTTATTATTCTGGTGTACGAGATAATAAGTACAATGAATGCTCCTTGTGAGCTGTACTGCTTGCCTTTTCGCTGCTGGTCTGACAGCGTCGTTATGTCATTACGACAGATGTCGGTCGAGCAGCCCTTACAAGGTACAAATGCATCGACTTCTCCGACTCCATACTGCGAATTTATTGCCATATGGCGCCATCGAAATCTGAGCTCGGACAGCAGAGACGAATGTGGATCAGGCAAAAGACGTTCCGGCAGAGAAATATGACCCGGGGCCAAAAGTGGCTCGATTCAGTCCTTGAAGACAGCCGCTTCAAGCCGAAACGTCACTCGGTCATCCCGACAGCCCAAGAAGATGTGCTCGGTACTCTTATAGACGATATTTTCCACAGAGTGCCCTATGAGGTGCTTCCCTACAAATCAAGGAACAGCAAGCCTATCACAATAGTCACGGAAAAACTTTGCTACTTCGAATCCCTTTACCGGAAGACAAATCAGGAGGCTCACGCTTATTTTACAAACAGGTTGGATGAAGCTTCATTTACCAATTTCCAGAAACAGCACGGACCCCAGCTGGTGGAGATTCTCAGAAAGAACCATCTCAGAGGCAAAGACGGATGGCTTTGTGAGAGCGAGGTCTTCACGTGTCTGCAGCTTCTTCTCGAGACTGTTCCAAAGGAGTGCATCATGGCCCCAGATGAGGCCGTCATTCCAGCCATTGAAGGGGAGCCCTTACAGCTATTCGACCACAAATTTCTGGCGCAGGTCCAGCAGGAAAAGCCTAGGTGTATACTCCTCCCCTGGAACGCTGGACATCACTGGGTTCTTTTTCTGATTCACCTGAGCGGGAAGGGTCTTTTCATAATTGACACGGTTCCTCGAAGTAATAGCGAAAAGTTTGCGGTCGAGTGGGCTACGCACTTCATGCCTGTCTGGAACACGACTGGTTTAGGCGACATAAACTCATGGGCACTCTGCAAAATTGGGAAGCAAGATGACGACTGGAGCTGTGGCTACTGGATGCTGGAGGTTGTGCGCCGGATCTGTTTTCAAAAAGGCCTACTCGAGCAGAGCTGCGAGGCCCCTACGGCGCTAATCAGTGCTGGAGGCCCCAAGGGTGTCGATCCACTCCTCGATTTCATTCGTTCGGCTATCAATATCAACATCACGGAGGACCATCTCGACAAAAGCATTCTGCCTGAAGGCCATCGATCACAGAATACTGACAACATAGATTACAAGCACAGATGAGGGTCTGGACCTCTTACATCAGAGCGTGGTCTTGTGATTGATGATAACTTCAAAGGCCTCTGATGCACTCTACAAACGCGATAAGGGCAGAGATAATTGGAACAGGAGTAGGGATACCGCTAGCGATGTACAGCAATTTCGCACAGGTATGGATCTATGCTGTCGAACTCGACGTGCAGACACTTGCATCTTCTCTCTTCGCAATACACGCCTCATAGAACGAGGCTCATAACTCTAGGAGTGTGTGCGATAGGTTTGAACCGGCTTGGGCCGGAGGTCGCTGGCCTGAGGTCAACCGCGTTCCACTGTGGCGATAGTTCTCTGGTCAGCAATTCCCACTCTGTTATCGTTAGCTTTAAACACGAGCTAGGAAACTCGATTCCAGTATTGACAAGGCTCCGGTCATATGCTAGGGTGTATTCCTTGGTCGTGCATCTGTGCAGAAGCTTGGTAAACTTACAACATGCTTCAGATGCTCTTGTCCACGCAGAATGGTGCTCTTTCTGGTATGAGGTGGATATTCAAGAATAACGGTGCATTGCAACTTGTGTATACGGAGCCCAGAGCCCTCGGGGCACTATAATGCAGCTGGCATGCCTGGTCGAACTCACATATATCCCCACGGAGACCGGTGTGTTATCAGATCACATTTGCCCAGCCTAGCAGGCACGGGGCTCGAGGGTGGAATGCAAAGAATCTACCTCGTGCTGAGACGCAACACGAATAGCAGGGTTAATTTCATTTACTGAACGTTCTTCTAGAATACGAGCCTAAATAGTTGGTAAAACATGCGGGTAAGACAGTGCGACTCGACGCGCGGCTCAGAGCTCTTTTGCTTTGTCACACAGTCCCGCAGAAAACTAACTGTGTGATCATGCTGAGCTATTTACTAAGGTTGAAATACGTAAATAGACTTTGGTCAGTCTGTGAGGGTTGTGGTCTGATGTAGCTGAGCATGCCGACTATGGCCTCAAAGGCTCTCTTGAGTTGTGGAAACGTTGATTGTGATGTTTAATCAGGGGCAGGATATGCCGAGCTATGTATCTAATATGCGGCACCCCCTCCCGTAACTGTTGCATAATCCTTATCGTTACTTGGTACGAGGATCATCTTAAATGAGCTCTCGCGCTCATCAATCGTTTCAGCGAAATCTATGGACTTCGACGAGTATGCAGAAGACTACCTGCATTACTTACACGATCTCGAATCTGACCCAGAACTATCTATCGACCTCAGCGGCCTCGAAAGGCACTTTCAGGGAGTTTGGGCGGAAAGAAGTTTCCTAATCGACCAAATGCTTAATTCGCAAAAGAAACTAGATTCCGATTTGTCGTTTAGAACAGCAGCACTATCGGTCCGGATAATCGATCGATATCTGGGGAACCTGGAAAAGGTGCCGCAAGGTAACGCCCCCAAAATTGAAGATTATCAATTAGTATACACCTCAACTTTTATTGCTATCAAAATAATAGAAGGTTGGCCGGACTATCTCAGGTGTGCCAGCGCTATACAACACGGTGTACTAACGGATAACCACGCCGGTGCGGAAAGGAGAATACTCACAAGCCTCGGGTACCGTCTCGAGTATCCATGCATATCAGATTACAAACACCCCCCTGAGAACTCGAAGACTCGTTTCTGGAGAACGTTTGAATACTTGAGAGAAGTTCCTCTAATCAGCCATCGATTTATCTCGTATACAGCCGAAGAACTCGCGGGTGCTATATATAATGCTGCAAACGAGGTTTGTAATCTATTCGAGGAGTCATTAAAGATATGCTATACGGATATAGAAGGCCAGATCAGGGATCACCTAGTCAAGTTTCATCAGGAATTATCTTTTGTGGAACTTGACGGACTCCGAAGTCGATGGAAAACAGGTGAGCTATGAACGACCCTTACTGACGCTATAATAGAGGAGCTAACAAGCAGCGCATCAAGAACTGAACATCACTTATGTCTGGGCTTCGCTTTCAAATAATCGCCACGGTGTTGTAGACCGTCTTCGGGGAGTCATGCAGCGCATGCGAGCTCTTCAAATGCGCCTTGAAAAGGATCGTCCTCCACGTGCATGATGTCTATTAACCTGAGCTATCTAGCTAGAAGAGTCATGTTTCGTAATGCGCAACATGCCCTATTGTTCATTCGTGGTTTTCTAGCCCAAGTAGGGTCTACAGTAGTATCAAGTGCTCGAGCGGTCGTATCTCGAGTCCAACAGGACTTTTCAGCCAATTCCAGGACGCTCCCTTCTGTCCTGGAGCGAGAGGGATGGTCTGATCGTCAAAAACAAAGCCAAACCAGACAGACGTACAACCCAGTTTTCACGGGTTTTGCCAGGGGTATTACCTGAGCAGTGGGCTGCTGACGGGGATCTTGGGATGGCCGCCTCAAAGGGCGGCCTTCCAGATACTTACGTGATTTGCTTACTCGTGAATGAAATTAGTTATAAACCTCTTAGTCATAAAATAATGGTTAAGCTGTGTATATATTATATGGACATGTAGCCAACAATGGATCATCGGCTACCTAGTAGTCAGTGCGCCGAATGCCACGCACACGGAGCCATATTCCAGCGCAAACTGTGAAAGATGTTGATGCGATGTGGACTCAACTACTAACTAAAGATCAAGCTAGGGATGTGAAAAAGGAAATCGTAGAATCCCTGGAGAATGAAACTCATGCACAATCATTTATGAGTCTTGCTATCGATGACTTCCTCAGGGCATTCGATGCTATAAAAGAACGAAAAGAACATTGGCTTTCCGCGATTGCGGACATTATAGAGTTTTTTGTCGAATGCTTGTACGATCGCCCTCCATGTAAGGATTTCATTCCTGACGAAAAAGCAGCCTATCAATTCCACATAGAAGAAGCCAGGCAAGAGAGCAATTCCCTTTCCCGCGTGTGCCGTTCTTCGTCCGATCAAACTGTAGAACAAACAAATGCGGCCCAAAGCTTCGACGACATGAAGCCCGTGGGACTGATTTTGAGAGACATATCTCAAAAATGCGTCATGGATTATTGGTCAGCTCTGGCCGTGCTTTGGAGTCGACGCCGAATCGATAGCGTTGAATCAACTCGGCGAGCTAAGGATAAGCGGTTCAAGAAAGATGTCAAAGATAATCTGGCTTATCATCGTGCTACTTTCTTAAAGAAGGTCAACTGCTTACAGAAACGCGAGTTGCTGGCTCTATTAATTCAATGGGAAGATTTCTCGGAAGCAAAAAATTCTGAGATCGGTATGGTGGTACGTGCTAAAGCTGTAGATATTTGCATAGCGGTCTTAAAGCAGTGTCAAAAGAATGACCTGGCTAAGCTGGGGGTGTCCCTGCAGCAAAATGCAGAAATGGATGCGGAAAAAATTGTAAAAGACTACTGGCCAAAAGAGCTCATGTAATGTCATCATTTATTCCATCTTCAGGGGGTCATGTATCGTGGACCAAACTCTAGGCCGTATTTTCAGGAAAGCTACCATTTATTTATAATACGTCGTTACGCTTTATGTGCCGCTAGTCTAGTCGTTTCATTCATGAATTGAAAGTTACTTCAACAGAAACCACGGAAGCTTGAGGGAACACATCTTTTGACTGAAGTATGCCAAGATAGTTTCGATTTAGCTTTCAGACCACGCCATTATGTTGTGCAGCCCGCTTGGGATATATCACCATTCAGCATGGTAGTGGTAAGCCTACATAAAGCAGGACAATAGGACTCCCATGGCGGGTAAAGCAAGAGCGTCCCCGGGCCCTCTTTGTGTATTGCCCCGTCTCCAAACGCGAAGCGACGACGGAGCGAGCTTGCGACACGCCCACTGCATTCGCGAGAAAATGCCGCAATTCGCGTCCGCAAGTCTGGTCGCAGTGGCACATCCGATGCTGCACTGAGAGAGTGACTTCTCTCCGTGATTCCCTACCGCTACAGCAGAAGCTGCCCTGCCAGAGCCTTCCGACTTCACCACCGACTTCATCACTTCATCCCAAGGCCTTCGACCGCGGGCCCGCTGCGCCCGATCCGGTTACACAAGACCTTCTCCTTACACAAGACCTTCTCCTTGCCGACCGACTATCCACAGCAGTTCTGTCATGGCCTTGGCATACACTTGTGTTCTACCCGCGTTCACCCGGCAGACTCTTTCCTGCATACCCCGCCACTGGGCCCAGCTTGAGTTCGAGTCGTCCATCACCAAACGTATGAACGGAACGAATGGGCCTCAGAGCCTCCCTGTATAGAACAGCAGCATTAGCGGTGATATCGCCGCGATGGCGATATGAGGAGACGAGACCTTCGAACACGTTGTCATATCCTGTGAAGCGCTTCGTATTAGCCGAGAAGGAATCTGGCAGAAACTGGAGACACCTGCACCGAGAACCCGCGACGAATTAGCCGCGATGCCGTAAAGCAGTATCAAATCCCTGACCACGCATCTACTACCGCATCAAAGGCAGTGCGCACCCAGAAGGACAGAAACGAGGGCCCAGCAAATAAAGGAGGAGTTGACACAAGCACGAGCAGTCGCAAGAGCCCAGCAACAACGCAGCAGGAGAGGACAGGGCGCGGCGCGGCGACGGCGCCCCACTCTCTCTAGCCTCCCCCGCCGCGGTACGGCAACACCCGCACTGACAAAACCCGTGACAAACACCAAGAACCAAGACGAGAAACCCCGCCCTCTACTCCTTGCCCTTTTCATCCACGACCCGGCGCGCAAACAGAGGATGAACTTACAACACCACCAGCTAGGCTCTCAAGAGCCGCCATGTGACGCTCCCGAAGCGAGCGATCAAGAGACTCCGCGAACTCACTGCCGCCGGCGTGGCCTTCGGCACGACCCTTCCCGAGCCCGGAGGTGAAGCAGAGATATATGGATCCTCCGGGGAAGCCACGCGGTCGGTTACCTCAATGAGGCGGTTGGCGGATGCGCCTACCACAGGATTGAGCGACAACCACATACATGCGCACCATTAGCGATGCGAGACCGAAGCGTGTGGTAATGTACTTAGTCATGTGGGTGAACATTTCTGGCGCACGTAGCTAAGGGGGCCGTATCATTTCCTGATGTACACAATATATCAGCGACGTCCTAGTGCGGCGCGTTGACCCAGCGGTATCGTGGCTTACGGGCGTCTCGGGCGGAGCCGGGCCTGGGCTGGGAGGAAGGAGGGTTGCTTGCTGCTGCTGCTGTTGCTTTTCTCGCTTCCGACGCAGCTTGATGGCCTCGGGGGCTAGGATGGCGGCGGCGGATTTGCGGCCGGAATGGGAGCCCTTATACGAAGGTGTCAGTAAGGGCTCGGTAAAGCTGGAATCGGCGACTTACCTATGGTGATTGTTGCTGCTGCCGGGTGGAGGTTAGCCAGACGAAGCAAGCGCGGAGCGTCTATGCATCCATGACGACGACGGCGACGTCGTCATCGTCGTCAAAAGAGCACTTAGGAGGTTGATGGGCTTGGCAGAAGGAAGAAACAGAACGAACGAAACGTGCGGCAATGAGGCTGACCTATACCCAGGCACTGCACCGATGGCCATCTTGCCCCAGATACCGAAGTGAGGCATCACGCACATTGGGCATTCGGCGCAGCGCTAGAGGGGCTTTCGCGCACCGCCCGCCCTGCGCACACGGCCGGTCTGTGGACGGTCTCCCTGTGCAAACAGTGGTTACTAAGGCCCTCCATTTCAGTTTTCGGCAACGTTTGGGTGGCTTGCATGCGACGAGAACGTGGAGCGTACGCGTGGAGGAGACGCCAAGGAGATAGATCAAGCGTGCTGTCGTACCTCGATTGCACTTCGCTTTGCTATCCGCCCGACATAATTGAATCAGAGCAGTTAATCTTGTTGGCCAATTCGTAATACTTCCAGTCGCAACAAAACTTCATACTGACTGCATCGAGCCATCAATCTGCACACACACCATGGCGCTGCTGTCATCATTGTCCACAATTCCCACAGCCAAGACGTCTGAAGTAATTTGCTCGCAGGTGCAATAATACAACAACTCCATATGGTTCAAGACAGAGACACGCTCCACGTACGGCTATTCTTCAAAGACGAGAGTTATGATACTGCAGATAAACTACGTCTAATGGCCACTGAAGACGAATACCGCCACAATCCCTTTCATGGTTTATGCTGGCTTTAATCCGCTATCGCTAGGTCCGTTATACTGCTACTCAAGCAAGTTCTCTGCTCATTTCGTAGTTCCATGCCCCTTCTCTCCTCATGTCTTCGCGAACAGCGATATCTCGCTGCACTTCCTCCTCGGTTAGTCTGTCTGTGCCGCTCCAGTCGGCACTCGATGTTCTTCGTCGAAACATGTGGAAGCGATCCTTATTCTCCGGGAATACTTCCTCCATATTAAGAGGCCCGGGTTTTCCGAACACCAGGAATGGGTTCACATTCTCCTGGTGGATCAGTGCCTTCATCAGAGGCGATGCATGGGCCCATGAGGCAGTTTCGACCCTTTTGACGTCTTCGTAATCGCTGTCTTCAGTGTCCGTGTCAATTTCAGGCAATTCAATAATGTCTCCGTTGTCGGAGCGAGGAGGTAGTTCTGGGGATGGGTCGCCTGTACGCTGGGTGGCTGTAGATGCCGGACCACGGGAAGAAGAGTGAAGGGCTGGGCCTGAAGAATTGAGCCTCAAGACCGGGGGAATCGTACATTTTGACCCCGGAGTCGAGTCCCGTGGTTGGATGGCCTTGCTCTGTTTACGTGGAACGGCATCCAAGCTGCTTGATGCGAATGTCTCCTTGATTGTATTTCTTCGGGCCACAGGCGAGATCTCGTGCTTGTGCTCGTGGAAGTTGGTGACGGGAAATTCATTCATTGAACTTGGCGTCGCAGAGCTTGCTAGAGCCATCTCCGCCAGCCGTGAGCAGCTGCTTCCCGCTGACCTCGAAGGGAGCGAGGTCGTCTTCAGCGTAAGCCGTGTCAAGCTTCTGCTGGATGCCTTGAGAACCTACTTCAAGGCGGAGCAGAAGATCGTTTCCTACGATGCCAGAATCGGCGGTCGAGGCAACGGCGTTGCATGAGTTGTCGCACGGCAAGTATTTTGTTGAGCCAATGGGCTTTCCAAGTTTCTCCGCAACACCTGCCCTTTGTTGCGCAGCACAAGATTTGGGGTTCAAGTCTCCGTTGTTCGCGTACTGAAGCTCACAGCATCTGGAGGTTGGTCCGCACGGAGACAGATCGAGTAAGAGTGCGCGGGTATGTTTCATACTTCTCCTAAGAACAGCCGCGAGTTGCGGATTTTGGGACTTTAAAGCCCAAACATAACCTAGATTGAGTTCTGAAGTATAGCAGGGATCAGCCTCCGAGCCACTATCAATTGCGTATAGTCATCGGTCGCTTACCTCTCCGCCGGTTACTTTTCAAGCTGGGCATACTCTCGAATGGAAACAAATCTAGATGAAACTCTACAAAGCACCGCCTAATCTCACTTTCTTCAGGGAGGTATTGTGGCAATATAGATTCTTCGAACAAATCTTCAATCTCAAATGCGATTTTGTGTATTACGTTCGCAAGATCCTCGGATGTATACAAAATGAACTTGCGGCTGAAAAGGCTTGCTTCTCCCAAGTACCAAAATGTTTCCAGAACGTGCGTGTTCCAGTCATGGGAAGTATAGTCAGAAATGGAAGAGTACTCGAGTGGGTTGGATAACGCCTTGTAAATCTTTTTTTCTAGGATAGCGTGATCCCTCATAACCTTTCGTTTCGCGACGGCGGAATGGTCCTTCAAGGCGTCATCGCAAAACCCTTTAGATACCGTTTCGCCTTCTAGCTGTTTCGTAGCAAGAAACGTAGATGTAAACACTAATTTATCGTTCTCTATTCTGCATACGTTGCCTTTTTGCCCGAAGTTGAGGCTGCTAAGATAGCGATCTACTATTCGAACTGATAGTGCTATTGTTTTGAACGAAAACTTGTATATCTCTCGGTACGTGATAATTTTATCAACTAGCCTACTCCTTTCTAGCCACGCCCCTTCGAAAGAGGCCTCGAGACTCGTAAGGTAAATAGAAAGGGCTAGATCAGTTTCGAGTGTAGATAAGTCGTTAAGGTATTCCTTTCCATCTTCGTTGAATCTTTTCGCCATCAGGCATATAAGAAACAGGGTCTACGGGCTTTAAGATCTCCTCAACATGTAGAAGTGGTCCCATTCACGTAATTCATACAGCATGATGTACGTGTGCCTCTCTTGTCACAAGCTTGTTGCACTTGAATGAGCGTTGCCAGGCTGCTAGCCCAAAGTGTTGCGAAGGTCCAATCTCTGAGCTTAAACGGATGATAGGTATGAGTGAAGCTATTCAATGAAGTAAGCAAAGCTCGAGAAATATCGAAGCTGGTCGATTCTCGCTCCTCCCATGAGGTTGTTGTTCTTGGAGGGAGCTGTCAATCCTGCGCAAGCTGTAGATAGCTTGATCGCTGACGTAAATAGTAATGAATCTTTGTCTAGAAAATCCTGAAGACTATAGAGACCGTTACAATCGAATTCGAAATCGGTGTCCGCTTTCGCTCAACACAACTCTTTCTGCGCACGGTCCGCCTCGTCTTGGCGATACCAAGTGTGGAGCCATAAACAGAGCTTCTTGCAGGTGAGTGGGGCAGCGGTCACGACAGCAAGTCCTGGCTGCAGGTTTCCGCATCCTTCACTTATTGCATAAACAGGAGGATACTCCACAGTGTCAAATGGCTTCATAGAAGCCGGTGGACTGGAGTGTGCACTGCGGAGATGTGATCACCAGATCAAGACGGGCTCGCCGTTGATCAGCCTAGTAAATCCCGCTTCCGGGTGCTGCCGAAGCTCGACCATCTCTTTGCCAACCTCTAACCAACATTCTCAATGAAGTTGTAATTTCAAAGACAAGCTGTGGTGCAGAATGAGCACTGCACGGGTGCGGCAGACGGTCCACCGGAAACAGAAGGCCTCATTCCAGGGGTGAGACTACACATTCTGGGCTCGGGCTGCACGCGGACGAGCGATTAACCGATGCCAGCAACGAGCACCGTGTACTGACATTTATAAGTAGCGATCGTTCGCATTATAGTATGTAGGAAAACCTCGTTTGTAGTATGTCTAGTCAGTTCACTTTCTATGCACCGCTGATTGGGCACCACACAAACACTGTACTGCCCATTTATGTTCGTTACTCCTGCCTCGAAACGAACACCTCTTTTCTCGTCGCCTTGCTCCTTCTACTCATGCGTCCACGCTCGTGGCCTTTCGCCGACCCACGAGTGACAGTATCGCAGCCAAGCGCAACGATCGACCGCGAGCCATCCGCGTGATGCTAGTCGAAAGCTCGGGACGATGAATCTCCTTGCGGTCAACCCTGGTATCAACAATTGAACCAGACTCTACAACAACTACGTTTGACATGGGCCGGCAGCCCGAGCAGTACGAAGAGATATGTGGCAGCGGCGATGTCATTCTCCTTATTGGTCCTCACCAAGCGCCATTGAAGGTGCAGTCAAGATGTCTTCGAACCGCATCAAAGGTGTTCGACGCCATGTTTGGACCAAATTGGAACGAAGGCCAAAACCTGTCTGAAGACATGCCCAAGCCGGTCGAACTTGGCGATGACGATTTCGGCGCAATGCACACTGTCTGCTATGTGATCCATCATCGAAACGACCTATTGACGCAAACTCTCGATCCTGCAGATGTTCTCGGAGTCGCCATCGTGGTTGACAAGTACGATCTCAGTGTGGCTATGAAGTTTGCCCTCGCGCCATGGCTTAAGCTCCGAGACGACATGAATATGATACAGCTCGGCTACATGATGGCCGCTACACATCGACTTCGTGATGAAGAGCGCTTCGTGGAAACCACGTTAGCCCTGATCCTACGTTGTGACGCTTCATATTGGTGTCTCTCTGAGCATGAAATGATCAGCGAAGTGCTTTGCGCAAAGACGTCGGGAAAAGTAGCGTGTAAGTTTTGTCTGACAGTTTTCGAGATCAAATACTGATTTCACAGACTTGCTTGAGGAGAGACGGAACCATATGCGAGCAAGTATTCTGAGCATTCTTGGATCACGGGGTCCAGATTGTTCTTGTGGCTGGGGCAACGAGCATGCACAGGGTCGTGAAGAGCTCAAGGGTGCATATGGGCCGCTTGATTTACTGAAAACACCATTGAGTCAGATTATTAAAAGACTTGAAAGCATACCCCTTGGCAACTTGTCCAGGTTAAGGAAGTGTAAAGAATTGAGTCGAAAGCATCAGCCGCGAGAAAACGAGGCCCCAAAAGGGGAGATAGCCCTCATGAAGAGGTCTGCAGCGATATCTTTCGAAGATCTATAGAAGAGGACTTGGCAAGCTGATACTTCAAGCGCGAAGGGAATAAAGCATCGATCACCATCATTCTCCTCGCACATTGCTTACTTCGGAAAATAATGACTTATGTTAATGTAAACAGGTCAGCTGTGCGACCCATGGCCGTCCAGGATCAGCGCCCGCCATCGCTTCGGATCCTGGGGCCTGTACGCGGAACAAAGAGCTCTTGAAGCCATCTCAATGCAATGTCATTGCTGGTCTACCCATTAGGTGATGTAACAAATCTCCAGTCACGCCACTTGTCGAGGCTCGTGTCAGGAAACCACTGTTGTTGCACCGACTGGCCCTTGAAGATAACCAGCGGTGGAATTCCCTTTGATGGTGAACGCCATCAGTGCCTAAGCTGAAATGCTCGCGTGCAATAATAATAGATCTGCTCGCAGCTATGCGTCGACCCAGGGTTGAAGCGGCGCTGCGCCTACCCAATAGTATCTGTGAATTTTGGCAAATGTACAGGGAGTGGCAGGAAGAATCTCGTGCTGATAGGGGAGGCCTCATGGCTGCTGGCCAGCGGCGGCAGGCATGGCAGGACGTAAGACTCCGAGATCGTGATCCTCGCCGAAGCCGGGCCAGATGTACAGGTCGTAACAACTAGATCCCGCTGCTTAGTGGCTGAGAGATCTGGAAAGAGAAACGGTCCAGCGCGTAAGCCAGCGTGGGTGAAGACCTGACATGATATGCATGCTGGAATAACACGCGGTGGCGAGGGCAAAGAAAGTCAGTGCAGATCAGGATCCTTTAGCCGAAGGCAAACATGTCATCGAGATCGTGGGCGGTGCGGCCACTGACAGCACTGGGGCGCCGGGAGCTGTACTGCCGCCTGGCCAATGGCCAAGTGTACCCGTGGTGGGGTGGTGGGGTGGGGAAGCTCGCCACCGGAGCTCTTGCTCCTGGCTACCCGCTGCTTGCTGTGGCTGCGAGTTAACTTGCTCGTTCGCGCCTTTCCGCGGATTTTACTCTTAAAATCCGGCAAATGCCGACATTGACTAGTTGGGGGTCGGTCTGCTTCTAAAGCAGGGCACGGCTATCGTACAAAACTGCACCACAAGTCTACAAGCTGACTGTGAAGTGCACAAGACCGCAATTGCACCCGTAGTTTGTAGCACTCTGACAGTGGCCGCACTGGTGAACTGTTCAGACCTCTGTGTCCTGCAAACCACTTGACGTAGTAACAGACTGGACGAATGGCGTCGATGGCGCGGGCGTCAAGCGCTGGCTGTGCAGCGTAATCATGGTGGATGGGCAGCAATACTGTCTCCATATCTAAGGCCAGCTTCTGCGACGTGAGCCAACAATGGCTTTTGATGCGCGAGCTATGACATGTGCATCTGGTCGTCGCGGTGCACGGTGCATGCATCGGCACACGCGAGCATAGAATTCGTGCGAGAAGAGGAGCTTCTCGGATAGACGGCGTGTCATTCTGGGGAGTACTTGCCTCTAGCGGAAGCGCGGTATTGTCTCGAGGCGCTGAGTATCTTCTCGGGGAGCTCGCCCGCCGCTTTGACTCAGGGGCAGCAGACGCGACGGTCTGGCACAGCTGGGGCCCGTGGTTGTCGCGTGCAAGGGTGTACCTTTTGGGGGCTCACGCTCCCCGTCGCGGTCTCTGGTCAATACTCTAGCACGTCGACTTGGTCAGCCGTTCTGCGAGCATGTCTTTCAGTAGCTTTCCTGCAGCGACGAGCGCACAGCAAGAAAGGGTTGCCGTAGTCGGGAGATCAGATGCTCGTACGCCTCCTGTCGTACTATCCCAGACTCTGAAGCTTTACATTACCTCACCCAGACCTAACACCAGCCAAGGAGCTGATCGCGCACAGTACTGTGTGCTCAGCACCGGCACCACTTCTCGACCGTTGGTTGCATATCACAGTTCAGCGGATGGAGGGATGAGCCGTTCGGATTGAGAAACACGGGCCTTCACGAGAGTCTTCAACCACCAAATAGCGTGCGGTCTGCTCAGGTCGCGAACTGATTGTCCTTCTTGACCCATAGCCAGTAGCTCCAAAAGTGGATTGCACCGTCACGTGCAGCGGCTGGCACTAACGAAAGATTGTTTGTTCGTCGTGCGGCTTGTACTGAATCTGTAGTGGTGGCTCTGGCCGATTGTCGAGCAATCTTCGCCTTGCCTATCGCAGAACGACGGCAGAGTATGACGCTTTCGACATAATGCAAAGAACAAAGACCTCTTCGCATCTGGCTCACTGTACGTGGGACAACTTCAATGCGATCATATATTCTACATGCACATACACTACCGCTTTCATGTTGTGGCGCACGACCAAAACTTCGTATCATGGCCAGCCTCTCCTTATGCGGGGAAGCCAAACCTTTGCAATCAGGAGAAGCCGCATGTACGTTTGACGCACTGACTCTGAGCTCCTACGTTGTACAAGCGAGTAACGAGTCTGCCTTGCCATGTAAATGTCATATCGAAACCCTTCCTTACCCCGCACTTTCAGCCTTACGCAAGAGCTGAGGCCGCCCAACATCCTACTGTGATAATGTTGAGTTCTGCATCCCATTTGACTTTCACGCGTGATGTTCGGCGTCCGGGTCCTTCACCCTGAACAGGAACCCTTAATCCTATCGGTTAATACTCTACAATGCGGCTCCTGCAACGAGACAACGCCAGCAACTACACCGTCACCGCCGATCTGCGCGCTGACGGTATCCCCCCCTATGCAATTCTTTCCCATACCTGGGGCACCGACGAGGTCATCTACAACGATGTCAAAACGACTCCAAACGACTGGCACAAGAAAGACGGCTACGCGAAGATCAAGTTCTGCGCCGACCAGGCCCAGCGACATGGCCTGCAGCATTTCTGGGTAGGCTCTTGTTGTATCGACAAATCAGACGCCATCGAACGCCAAACTGCAATCAATAGCATGTTCAAGTGGTACCGTGGCGCGCAGCGATGCTACGTATTCCTCTCTGACGTGTCTTGTCTATCAACCTCCTGTTCTGCGACGTCCAGTCAGCAGCCAGGTGTGGCATTGTGGGATGCCGCTTTCCGAGGTAGTCGGTGGTTTACGCGCGGTTGGACACTTCAAGAGCTTATCGCCCCGCAGATTATCGAGTTCTACTCGAGGAAAGGGGTCTTCTTCGGCGATAAGAGGTCTTTAGAGGCAGTTATACGCGACGTGACGGGTATTCCTGCTAGGGCCCTACGGAATATACCATTATTCCACTTTACAACTTTAGAACGCGAGGCGTGGTGTGACGGCCCAGGGACTAACAGGGGATTGTTTGGGCTACGAGGCAGGACAAACAAGGCCGCGGTACCGGGCCATGGACAAGGGCAGGGCTGCGAAGGGTCACGGGGCGGTTACATAAGCAAAGGACCTTAGTCATCAAGAAAGGGAGCCGATCCTTGGCGGTCGGCCCCGCGACGAAGAATTGTCAACTAGCCGACAATGTCCCGTCGCGCGACCGACGGCTCGCCGTCGGCGCCATGACTGAACGATGAAGGATGAAGGGGTATATGATCCAGATAGTTTCCCTTGACCAGACAGTCCTTACCTTCATACTTCAGCGATCAATCTAAGTACCATTCTCACCCACACTTGAACTAGTCACTCAATTGCCGAGACTGGTATCTCTTCCAAGAGACACGACAACCCCAGAGAGAGAACGACATTCGACCAGTTGTGATATTGCTTGAGCTTTACCTACTTCGCAGAACAGCAACCCCGAAGCCCGACCGGACGGTTGACCCCGGAGGTCGGATCGTGACACGTAGCGCACTCGCTGGAGAGATTAGATGAGGTTAAGGTGTTGTGGGGAAAGATGGTAACGCCACGTTTAATGCCCGCGCCGTATTGCCGTTAACTGTTTAGACGATCTTGATCGAGGTCTTGTCGTCGAGCGATGACCATATGGCCTCATCATTCCTGACGACTCCAATCCTTTCATAAGTTGAACCTTCCTCCCCAATCCGTCTCAAAACAAGCCAATACTTGGTCTCCCTCGAATCCATGATCCTCGCACACCAAATTTCGTCCTCATCCTTCCAAATCCACTCGCCGCGCTCGTCACACAGTCGAACGTCCGGGACAAACATCGCCGGCTCGTGCTTGTGCACTTGGACTATGAATGACCCTCGCCCGAGCTTGCCCAAGGCAGCCTGAGGGCCCTTGATGCCCTTGGCCACTGCATTTCGGATGGACATCCACGGCTTATCGGGGAGGAGGTACGGATCATCCGAGAAGCACAGCGACGCTCTCACTAGCTCCGCCGAGAGTATCAAGAACGACTCGCTCCGCTTCACCTGTCCCCGCTTATCCGTCCCAGATGGAACACTCCGCACCTCCAAGACCTTGGCGTGGACAACAGGCTTGTCCCATTCCGGCGGCCCAGCCAAGGGAACCGGAAACGTCACCGGAGTATCGGGCGACGCCCAAGACCACGACGGTGCCGGACGGACGTCGTTGATGGCCAGCCTCGCCATGTCAGTGGCGTTGGTTCGCTCGAACAGTAGCGCTTGAGGTAGGGTCTCTTCCCACTGACCAGCGAGGTACCTCATCCCGAGCGCATCCACCATCTCGGCGGCGACCCCGGAAAAAGCTGGCAGGCGATCCGTCGAGAACGTCAAGGACCGGTTCGTGTACTCCTCCACCATCTCCTGCCAGCGCGCGAGCAACTTCTCCCTGCGCTTCGCCTGATTGATCGTACTCTTCGTGCTTGTGCCCACATGCAGCGCGGCGTAGTGCGACACCTTGGGAGGCAGCTGGCCGGTGGTGTCGCGGCTCGCGTACACGCCCATGTGCTGGGTCAGCGACGCGTCCTTGATGCCGCCGCAGTCGCAGTCCAAGATCTGCATGCACTCCCAGAACACCTCCTGCGGGCCGAAATGCAGCACACGCGGCGCGAGGAGGCGCTCCTGGTAGCCCCACGCGCGAGCTAGTAACGGGAAGGAGTCCTTTTGTTTGGCGGGTTCTGCGTACCGGCGGAAGTCGGGGTGGACGATGGCAAAGCGGAGGGAAAGGCGGAGGTTCTGGCGCAGCTTGGCGGCGTCCGGGAACAGGATGTCGAGCGTCTCGTCCTCGGGGTCGTCAGCGGCAATCCAGACGGCTTGGTTGCTGCGGACGATGCCGCTGCTTGGGGAGGACGACGCGGTCGCGTACACGGTCAGCCACGAGTTGCGGTAGATGCTCGCCATGCGGCTGGCTTCCAGCTCCCAGTCCGCCGTGCTGTCCTGGATGATGCACAGTGAGTCGATCCACAGATAGCGAATGCCCAGCCGGCGCGCGATGTGGCAGGCATCCCGGAAGGTGGCGGGCAGACTGCCAAGCGGTATCCCCGCCTTGTGCTGGTCGATAGTGGCTGTCGTGGTGGTCAGGGGTTGCTCGCCTCCCCAGCTGTGGGACAGCGAGATGTACCGCCCGGTCTGGCCGGAGGACTCTATCAGTCGGATTTCCAGCTCCTTGTCCCCCTCTCCGCCAGCGCCCTCACCAACATCGAGAATCCGTGTGGGGAGTGCAGTGGGCTCATCATTCCCGCAGAGCTTGTGGTTGGACAGACACTCTTGAATCCAGGTATTCGCCACGTCGAAGCTGCTTTCCGCCGCTGTGTCCCCACATGGCTCATACGGCTGTTGCTCGTCTATCATGTACCAGCTGTACTGCAGCTTGATCTTCTCATTTGGACGCGCATGCTTGAGTGAGCCGTTTGGGTCGGCATACACAGTCATCTCGCGGAGGTTTTCGAACCGGAATGCTGCATCCTCACCGAAGCGAGTCGCCACGTCGGGAATAAGGAAGAGGAGTCCCTCCAGCATGTTGGCGCAGTAAGGGCAGCCATCCTCTGCGTGCTCTCGGGTTACGTCCAGAGAGGACCATCGCTCCCGAATGTGTGCGGTACACAAGTTGCAGTTGGGGTCGCCCCAGAACCCGGATTGGCGGTATCGAACCATGTTGATATGTCGGTCAGAGAGTTGAGTAAAGGATTCGAGGTTCGGGGTTGGGCTCCCCACCCTTTTTAAACGCCACCTGGGTGTTGCAGGGTTCGGCGGATAGACACGCCGACTGACACGGACGATGTCGCTGTGCCTTGCAAACACCAAGACAGCCCCACTTTTCCCGTTGCGTAACACCCTTTCGTAATGCCACAAAAGTTGGACATGCTTGCTTGATCTGGTGATTTTGTTCATATCCGGGACTGACAACGCCTGCTACTTGCAGTTAACGGTGCACTCTTCGCCTTCTCACCTGCACAAGGCATTCATTTCAGCAGTGGAAATAAAGAGCGCCTCTTTACAGCTTCTCTGGTAGCCAACATGGCTTGCCGGGGATCGCATACCTGCACTCTGGTCCTTCCCCTCTCCAGCGAGAAGCCGTATTCGGGAAGGCTCTTGGAGTTCGCAGGCTGACACGTAATCCTCTAGGGGAGTGCCGTAGCTAAGACGAATCACGACTCCTCCTCGACGGCAAAACCAGCTAATGACTTGAGAAAGCAGGCGCACTTCGGCTTCTTTGATCAACCAACAAAGGCGCCGCGCATGATGAGCGCTTCCTAAATTTAGATTTGCTTATACTTGATCCGTGATTGCTCGGGACAACGGACGGGCTGTGTGGAACGGACGGGCTGTGTGGAGTTAATCACCAGGCTGTGGTGGATCCAATACCCGGGCTCTAGTGGGGTCAATCGCCGGGTTGTGTTAGAGCTGGAGGCCGGGTTGTGGTTGAACACGGCTCGGGAGCTCGAACCAGCTCCAGGCTCGCAGAGCCAATGACCAACACTCCTTGGTCCGCGTGGATGCATGATTGTCGCCGATGGCTTTGCCGACGACATCGAGGCTTTGAACCTCGTCAATGATTTTCAGCCGCGTTGCATGGCCGCTCGTCAACGTGATATTTGTCTATTTATTGTTACTCTGACTTTCCAGGTCACTCGTTCTGAATACTTGAAGGCCGATATCAATGCGCTGGCGCGGCCTTGTTATCATCCATTCCCAGGATGGAGGAGTTTGAGGACGACAGTCCGCTGTTTTGTCTCTCTTCAGTATGATTCGAGCTCATCCTGGGCGCTGGTGCAACTCACGACAAACCTCGTCACCCCTCGAAGAAAGTCAGCAGATTATTCCCAAGGGCGTACGAAGCAACTGACCTCCATTCGGCACAGGTGACGTTCGGCTGGCACTTCTTGTGCGTTCGTTCGTAGACATGGCACCATCGTTGGACAGGAAACCGGAAATGGCCACAGTGGTATTGGATCTGCTAACAATCAGCTTCTGACGATCTCGATGAGCTTGAATTCGCGGTTGGCACCTGTATGTAATTGCACATGTTGACTTGGAAGGACACACGGTCGAGAGGGCTGTTGCAGATGAAAGGCAGTGAAGGAACCCTGGGCGCGCACCCCGGACTCTTGTACTCCCATGGCATCGACAGACATGTGCCGGGTTCATGCGGGCTCGGGATTACTTGCGAACGCTCGTCGTGTACAAAGTCCGTGAGCAGCAGTCACATCACGGCTGATCCTGACGAACAAGCCGTGCCTGGTGCACTCATCAAACTTGCACCCCGCTTTCCCCCAGCTCCAAGGACAATTACCCAGTCAGGGGGGGTACCGAGCGCACGATGACCCCGGCAGCTGTCGTGTACCAACTTCGATAGCGCGTCCACCACCAAAATGGTATGCTCGTCTGCGCAGTGAAGTGGCCTTGTGAGCGCGTTGCGTTGAACACTGAGCCTAGTACGATCATGTCTTAGGTTAGCCCACCGGAATGTGATGCCACTGTGTGGCATCGGTCTAGCCTCATCTCCGGACGTCACGTACCGGGCCGTTCACACCTATGCTGACGACCAACATAACCAAGCTCGATCCGTCCAGGGACGAAGATGAGATCGGGCAGTTCCCTCAAGGAGGAAGGTTTGTACCAGGCGGAAGCGTCGAAGTATCACTCCCAGCTCGCAGTGGTATCGGCGCAGCGAGTCCTTGCTCTTTCCAGGGATCTGCGTGTCGGGGCTTCAACGCTGAGCATGTGCTAGCCGGAGAGTTCAGGGACAAACGATGGTCAGGCCACGAGTACCAAGGTTGATCCCAGGCGACCGGGGTGGGGGGGTTTCAGTGTTTGTGGGGCGTGCGGCTTGTCACACCTGACAGAGCTGCGTCGCGCTGGAACCAAGACCACAAGCTGAGATCCTCCCAGCCAGACACGGGCTGAGCGCATTATGACGGAGGCGGAGTCCCGCTGCCATGAGCACCATCGACCACCACGGCACGGGACATCGGGACAGCACTGCACCCTCTCCTACCACTTTGGCACGCATCCAGCTCATATCCCAGACTACAACAAGACGTCCGAGCTCGATCGGCAACCATGTCCATGATGGACGACCTGAACGCGAGCGGCTGCTTGCAGCAGCATTTGCAGATAAAGGTCTGCGTGGCGCTATGCGACCATGTCTCGGCATGTAGTTGTTGTCCTCTGGCGCTGCTTGGCAGGGAAATGCTGTACACCTGTAGAGATTGGACCAGCAACTGTCGAGCTCGGTTGGCAAATCGTCTCAGGCGGGATCGGCCTCTCGCGCGCAGTAGTTGCGCGTTAAGTGGCCTTTTAGGGGAGCCACTTCTCGAGAAGCACTCGAGGAGAGGGTCCGATGCAAGCACCGCCTCTGGCTGGAGCTCTATTGTCAAGAAAACTATATGAAGAGGTCGCCACAACGACGCAATTGACAGATTCATTGCTCACAGGATCGAGCTTCACTGAGTCCACTGCGCTCTGTGCCTTGGCGGCAGGTGACAATCCAGCGACCGAAACATGCGTTGCCACTGTGCCATGTTCCGTGTGCTCGCAGCGTCCAGAGTGTTCCTCCCGACTCCACTGTGGCCCGGTGAAGCTGCGCGTCAGCCCAGAAAGCCGGGGGTGATCCCAAGATAGCGAGGGGCGTCGACCAGGGGGTCGTGCTGTGTTCCGAGCGAATCGGAACGTCTGACTGCATGGTGTTTGACATGGCAACGACGCCAAGCCTCACCCATGGCTCTGGAAAGAGCATGCGCCGATGGTCACAAAGCGCTCCATCGCACCCCGTCGTGGCTGCGACGTTTATCATGGCTGGGCTCTGAGGCCTCTTCTTTTAATCCAGCTCTACTTGGAGAAAGCAAGACATGATCCGAGGCTCCGAGCACTCATGCCTCGAGCTCGTGTCAAACGCGGACATATCAACGCAACCGAGCGATCGCATGGAAGTCCGAACATGCTTTCCTGCCCTGCGAGTCGTGCTGGACGTGACAATCCTCGCTGTCGCTTCAGCACGCAGGGGCCGCCGGCGCCTGCCGCGGATCGACAGAGTGACAGAGCTGGGCACCGTCAACCAGTTTGCTGGATCAGGACCGGGCTGGGGTCCCTTGTCCGCCGCAGGGATCTCTGCACAGCTGTCTGGGAGGGCATGCTGTCCACAACGTGTGCTGCATGCAGCCTGCAGCGCCGCACCGCAAGCGGGCCTTCGAGGTCCAGCTCGTCAAATTAAACCCCTCATTGTCGTACAACACGGCCATCCCGATGACCCGGGTTTTGGTGCTTACATGGTGTGACGCACGCATACTGCAGCTGGAAAAAGTTCCTGGTGATACTCCTGGACTGCGGGCTTTGCTGCACCAGCTCGCGGGTGCCCATGACAAGAGCCTGTCGACGACAACGATTTTCGAGCCTTGATGCGGCCGACCAGATCGAAGAAGCTCAGGCCCATGGGACGCGAGTTTTTCCCCCTGCCCGGCTCTGGGTTGCGCTGCTCGACTCTTGTTCTGATGTGGTGTTGCCTTGTAAGTGGACCGACGTCCTGGTCTAGTAAACTTTCGTGTCGACAATAAGCACGAGCTAACTGGAGCTTCCCGCGTCGCGGGAAGATCGAAGCCTTCAGGGGATCTATGAACCGAGACCGAAACTTTCGTGCCTTGCGCTATTCTTGCACCGTCAATCCAATAGTCAGCTAGAATCACGACTTGACATCCTGGCTCTTTCCGATGTTGTAATTGCAGGAAGAAAGTTCGCTCAACTGGTCTGTGTTGCTTTCCGCGAGCAGAGCCTCTGAGGATGTCTGGAAAGTGGCGGCGATGACTTTGTGTCTGCACTGGATAGGAGAATGTCGTCTTAAATTCAGCCCAGACCATCGAAGTCAAGCTGAATCCATCAATCATGCCGGTCGGACGCACATCTCTCGCTCGTCTGACGAAGCACAGCGAGTTTGGCATAGCCGTTTTGACGACACCGTACAAGACCCAGAGTGGTGTCGCATACCGAACACAATTGCGAACAGTCCTTCCTTTTTGGACTGGAGTCGTGTACAGGACAGGGATCAAGAGGACTTTTTGGGGCCTCCTGACTCTCTTCCCAGCCTCCGCGATGATGGCATAGGCTTTGTGGTTATCAAAGGGATCTGGCCAGACCTTCCGCGTTGCCAGCAGGCCCCCTGGCGTCATCTGAAGATCTAGTTGTATGATGCATACCTTATTCCGGGTTCCTCGTGGGCGAGACTCCCCAACCAGGCCAGTGTAGGTTCGAAAGTGTGAGGGAGACGGGGCGAGACCGCTCGGTGCGAATGTTGTGTCTTCTTCCTGGTAGCTCCACACCAATATTGAGGCATCCTCGTTACATTTGAGGATCTCCTCTTGTAAACGTGCGAATGCACGGTCGCCCTCGCCATAAAGCATGGTCAAACTGATGTCAAAGATGCCGAGCAGGGAGTATGCTCGATCCTCCGTTCTTTCGGTCATTCTGTTGGAGGCCCAAAACATGCGTCTGCCGATTCTTTGTATAACGATATAGCAAGACGGACGTCCATTCACAACATTTGAGATCCGGCGTAGGTCAGGGGTATGCAGGCTGACTAAAGCTCCCAACCCTCGAATTGAGGGGAATAAGTAGCCATCGTGACCGCGCAGAGCAGCAGGTCAAAGTCTGCCCTCCTTTTGACACATCCCCGACCATTTCCTTCAGAACCTCTGCGCGTCTTGCTTGTGGGTGAAACCTCGCCTCAGCTATCGCAGAAACTCCCTCCAGCCATGGTGCGCACGAAACAGACAGCTCGCAAATCCACGGGTAGAAGAGTCCCCCAACAAGATAAGGTATGCACTTCGCGCTCTACAAGGTTGTGGTTAGCTGTTAACAAGTTTTGCTATGGTAGGACATCTTTCTGTCCGATGTCCAGCGCCTGCTCGAGCACGAACCGAAAGTGCTGGCCCTTATACTCATGAAGAACATTTCTGAAGACAAGGGAAATGGCCTGTGTAAGCTGCCAAACGGTCTCGCGTCTCTGCGTCCTTGAGCCCTCTTTGTTTACTGAAACTGACCAACTGCAACGTCCCCCTAGGCGGAGAAATGTTACGACGATACGGTCGACCAAAGGTCGGAGATTTACTCAAGCAAGGTATAGTCCATCATGCCGTACTCTATATTCATGCTGATGCGTGATCATAGTTTTGGAGGATCCTGAATCCGCAAAGAGTGCGACTCTCGGCAGCGCGACTCTGAAAGCTGCTAGCACAGAGAGGAGCGACGGTAACGACAAGTTTGACCAGAACAACGCGAGTAACAGGAGCGACAGTCACTCCGGAGACACGGGTGAAAGCAGCGATGAGGACGTGGTGTTTGTCAGTGCCAAGCGCGTTAGTGAAAGTAGAAGTGATGAAAGGCCATACAAAAGATCGCGTGGGAACAGCTAGATCTCGCGGCTCAGACTGGCTAGATTGATTACCTTTACTTTTCTGCAACATGGAAAAGTCGACTAAGAACCCCACAGCCCATGTTATGCCTCCTCTCTCCTTTTCTCGCAGCGGTTATTCACGAAGGTCAGCACAATTGATCAGACAGCGCCACCGTGGAGAATGAGGGTGCACCTCTAATTACTGAGCGGCGTAACCGACCGCGGATCACTCCATTGCGCAAGTCTTGGGGGCATTGACTGCTCCACGCCGAGCAGGCTAAAGGCGACCGCTAGCGAATACTGGGACGGCTTTGGGCCTAGACCTTCGTCAATGTGGTGAAGCACGTTCAATACTTCTATTCCCACAGAAGACAACGCGGGCATTCCTGATCGGCGTTAACGTGGGGTGAAATATGTTGGGCAGCGGTGTAAATTGTTGGGTGGTAGTCATGTCGCAGCACTCCATGGTGACTCTTGGTGTCGCGAATCCGAGTGGCGATCCGGACTCTGACCTGCGCAAAGTCGTCTCCTCTTGCAGGCATGCCAACCAGGGCAGCCAGCTATGTGAGCGACGAGATGTCATTTTCTTCATTGGAACACATCAGACGCCATTGGAAACCCATTTCAGATGTCTTTGAGCCGCGTCGAAGGTCTTTCACAGAATCTCTCGCCCGAAACGTGTTGAAGGTCAAGATCTCTTCGATGACAGGCCGAAGCTCGTAGAGCGTTGCGATGATGATTTCTGCATTATGTACATCGTCTCCTGTCGTGTACATCATCGAGATGACCTGTTGGCTGCGGCTCTCGCACCCTACACGGGTGCTTGACCACCCACATGGAAGTTAGGTCTGGTTCCCGTAACGCCTACACACGCGCGTGAATGAGCGCCTGGATTCTCGCCCTTGGCAGGCTGAATCTGTCAGGGGCAGGTGCCCATAGTGGGTCGTGAACGCTGAGAAATTGTTAGCGGGCACTTCGGCTAGACAGAGCGGGTCTCCACCCATTTCACAGAAAAGCCAGTCCTCTCCAGTCGAAGAGGTACGTACTGTAATCTGTAGTTGAAGTCGAATTTGATCGGGCCTTATGAGGTGTTTCTATCCTTAGTGTCTTTCCTCTCATTTTTGTCCCGGTTTCGGAGGAAGCCGTGATGATAAGACATCACATCACTTTCTCGCACGTGGCTCCTGCTTCCCGGAGGGTTCCTGAGCTCACTTCACAACTTCCAACGGCGCGTTCACAGTACTCTAACTGTGCAGTTCTCAACTCGCAATCTAATTTGTACGGAGTATTAAGCAGTACAGACATGTTCTCATTGATTACAGTTGGTTTGCAATACTCATGTCGTATAAGACGTGCGGTATTATTTGGGGCCACCACTAAGTGAAGCCTGTTCAATGTTCACTTCATGGTCAGAATGATAAATATAAGCAAGCCATCCTATATGTTCGCGGGTATCCAGCTACGATACACATCGGAAAGCAATTGAAGACCACCTCTAATCAAGGCAATTAGGGGGAAGGTAAGTCGAAAGGCGCCACTTATGATCCACGTGTCTCTAGATAGAGGTGAAACACAGGAGGAAAACACGGCCAGACGAGCATCCAATAACAAGTTTCGTGCCTGCATCCACGGCAGTCCAGTCAACAACTGGCGGTCGGAGCTCTGGGTGAAGCCGGAGGACCCGCTGTGAGTCTCTCAGAATACATGCACCATTCGAACTGATCCTAAAGCGTTGGCGACCGGCTATGACGGGGATGTTTGGATGCGGGTCCAAGATGTATCTCACGGCACTCTCGACACGGAATACTCGGACATCACTTGAACCAGTCACTCAATTGACGAGAGTGGTATCTCTTCCAAGAGACACGGCAACACCCAGAGAGAGAACGACATTCGACAGGAAGTGATATTGCGACGGCTCTACCTACCCGGAGGACAGCAACCACCCGAAGCCCGACCAGACGGTTGACCCCGGAGGTCGGATCGTGACAGTAATCCACAAGTGACCCGGCCATTTCTTATCGCCGCATATAAATGGATTATTAACCCTTTCTAACTCCCTTATTTCCAAATATATAAAGACGTAGAAAAGTGCAGTCGTAAACGGTAAGGATAAATACCACAGCGAGAATTTAAAATGACTGCTAAATTGCCTTTTTAGCAGTGAAAAAGGAAAAGTGGAGAATGAGCTACGCAAAGTTTCTGAATAGGAATGAAGGCGTTATTATGTAACTTGAAGAAGCACGTTAGACGTAGATTACGCTTATCGTTTACGAACTGTCCTCACTAATGTGAAGACCCAACCAGCAGGTCGCATTGTACTTGTGGCCGTCTGTTGTCGTCCTCGCTGCTGGTTTTGTGTATATCTGTGAGGAAGACGTAACAATGCTTGGTATTTCTGTACTAATAAAACACGGGGTTGATTGCTTCTCAAAGCTCCTTGCCGTTAGACTTGTCTATACAGCAGGTATCGATCCAGAAATGTTTCAGGCCATTCGACGCAGCCCGTCGGCCACAAAACGCGAGCTTCTAATATCCGTCCCTGTGGTGTCCTGTGTGTTGATGAACGTCTCAAAAGGTAGTCTCCTGGTCATCGGCTCCCCAGGTGTACGAGAGGATCGCATATGGCGGCACGTCCTCTAGGGGATGCTCTTGAAGGCTATGACTGCCATCCTATTTGATTTTAAAGAGGCGCATCCTGCAAGCGTATCTTGGGCCGATAGTCTCGGCCGATTGATGGTTTCAGCTTCCGGCGACGTGATGCGTCTTTGGACATGAGAGACCAAGTCTTGTCGAGCATCAGGATCCTGGTGGGGCACAAACTGTGGGTGTCTAACAGCAGCGGGGCAATTACGGAAATACGGGGTTGACTACATGGACACAGTCCCACTACAGTATCCCGCTGGGACCAGAAACGAGGCTGACGCTGCAACCCAAGCCCTATAAGCAGACCTGTTTTAGGGAGCCCAGATACGACCCAATTTGCGGAGGATAAGGCGTCAGCCTCACAAGGCATCTACGGTACAGTACATCCGGGCAACCATCTTTCCGGCCGTACTGGTACAGCACGGATGCATGAATAAGCACTGTATCTTCTCTCCTGGACACATCTGTGCAAGATGAAGTGGATACTCAAAGTTGGCGCTAACGTCCACCCTATCTTGTCCAAGGGTGAGCCAGTAGACAGGGTCACCCTCAGTAACCAAGCCACGGGAACGTGGGACCACCAAAGCATTCAGGGCTGTTAACAATTATTTCCTTTTCCCCGTCAATTTGCCTACAAAAGTGGAGATTCCTTCAACTTGATTCGTCAATAAGCAATGCGTTCGCCGTCTGCAGCCAAAACCTGACGATGTCGGTGCGGCACAAAGTAGAGGTCTGAATTGATCGTCTCCTGCCCGATTTCCCGCCATCCTACCTCGATTATGGGCTTCAGCTCAGTAGTCGTCAAATGTGGGTGTGTTCTTTACGTGCCACCTAACGCGACGGATGTGGCTTTCTATCCAATTTAGATCAGGGGACATTCCGCGACGTTGCTTTCGGCTGCGACGTCCTTGGAGTGGTGGGAGCTATCGCTCTCAAACTGTAGGCGGACATCGCGGTGCCCAGCGTGCTGCTCAACCTCGTTAAATAGCTCGTTAAGTAGCGGGACCAACACCTTTGACGTCATCTTGCCGTCCTAATTACTTGGGATCGTGTACCAATAGAGTCGCGAGCGGAAGTTAGAGCCAACTGCGTAGACGGCGTGGAGGAGGGTTTGCTCATTCTCGTCCTCCAATTCAAGAGCACCGGCCTGGTCTTCTTCTTCTTTTTTAGTTGTATCTTTGGCGGTTTGGAGCTTCTTTCTCTTCTCACGAGGGTTCTCTGCCTGTACAACCCAGTGCTCGTGCTTCTGCCTAGGCCTCCGGAGGACCCTCGTCGTCAACGCAGGTTGGAAGCCGAAGTGCACTTCGTCCATGGAAAAGCATTATTACGCCACCGTGGGTCCTCCCACCGACCGTCAGCTTGTTTTTGCTTTTACCCATTGCATCCGCTGCCTCTTTTGGGGTTCCATCGATCCCATCTTCACCGTCGACTTGCACCTGTGGAAGTGGAATCGTTGTGTCATCAGTTCGCGGGTGGTTCTCTCGCAAGGCAGCTCTTCGAGCCGGGCCTTTGCGGCGGCGGCGGGCCACGGAAGCCGATGGGCTTGATTTCGTCGCGCCACCGGAATCCAGCGTCGAGTCTTTGAGGGGGTTCGTCACGAGTATGTGGTAAGCGCGTGTCGCGGAGACGACAGAGAAGTCGAAAACCTCGCGCTTAGTTACCAATTTATCGTCAGAGTCGCTTGGGAATAGCTTCCTTTTGGTATTGTCGAAAAGCTCTCCGCGCGATGAGAGCCACTGTATGACCCCACGGACTTGGGCGCGGCGGGGAGTATCGTGCTCAACTCTTGGCATCGTCAAAATGGTCCTAGTATGAGATAAAGGCAATCAGTGGTATCATGAGATGCGTAAAGGCGCGTTCAATTGATATAGCTATCTGGCGCTCACAAAATATAACGTCGTCGTTGCTGACGGCGGAAATGAGGACATCAGCGCCGTCTCTGTTGGGGTTGTTAATTGGTCAAAAGCGGTGATTGGCGGCTTGGCGGTATTCCCGTGACTTCATTCCTAAGGTGACAGGGCTTGCCTGTCTCGGAGCCCGCCAACCACGGATCAGAGTATTGATGCACTTCCGATGCAGGGACAGGGTCTGTTTCTCGCACTCCCGACACCTCGCCATCATCCTTTTCGACTTGCAGATGAGACTTAATGGGGCCAAGCTCGGAAACAAAACTGCAGCTGCACACGCCTGCTGGACATGTTGATCAAAGCTCGCTTGGCTGCGCTAGCTCGGCACGGGCACACATTCGGTGCATATTTGCCCCGTGGCGAGCCTTCTGTCATATACTGGTACGAGATGGGCGATACCACCATCACTTGTAGAGCGAGCACTAGCAGTGAATCGGGCTCAACCATTCGGCTCGATACTGGCAAATTCACATGATGAGGAAGATGTCCTGAGTTGTGGCGACAGTAATACTAAGTAAGCAGTCATCGATTGCCGCGAACCGGATGAACCGATTAACGTCGTCTCGCACCGTGAAGAACAGCGACTTTGGAATCGCGACGCATAGGTGGGGCGTGGCACGGTTAGTGTTCGTTGGTCTTGGAAGTCGTGCTGGGCCGCAAGGGATGTCCGATTTAGAGTTCAGCTAGATCGCCTGGCATAGGAGATCCCTTATTCTGGGTACTGCTCAGCGGGGCCCCTCGCCCCTGTTGATGGTATTAATCTTTGAGAGCGAGCCGCGGACAATAGCCTGGGTGCCTTTGCCTTTTCTCTGCAGCCTGCATGCGTGCCATGTACATTCAGTACCACGCGGGCAGTCATGAACAGCCACAAGTCAAGAAGCTTTGACAGGGCCTGGTCTGGTCTTTGCGTTGCGGCGCCTCCGGAAAGATGGGCGTCGTCTCCCCAGAACCGTGCGGCTGATGTACTCGGTCCAGGCTTGAACAAGGCCCTCTTTAGCCTGCCGCCAGAGCGAGGGGATGGCATGCATCTTGACTTAGTGTATGTACGATTTAGGCTGTTCCTTCTGTGCCTCTGTGCCACCCCTTGCCTTACACATTTCCTTCCTTCTTATATGATGGTCGGTTGCTGCTGCCGGGCCTAGCAAACTGTGTTCTCCCCAGGTATGCTGCTGACGGGCCACGTTCTGAACCCTTCGCTGCGACGGGCCCTCACATCACATCCCCAGATCGGGACCCTTCCAGCGTCAAGCAAAACCACCACCGTTGAGCCTCGCGGGGCTCTTTCTCGCCATGGTCTCCCCCGGCGCCGTCATTGTGAGCGAGCCCGCCCGCACATCAGCGCTCCAGCACCTTGTTCTTGTGCTAATCAAACACATTGTTAGGCCTCGGAATGGACCGTCACAATCTTGGCCTTCATCTTCCTCGGACTTCGCCTCTACGTCAGAATAACCCAGCGGCAGATCAACCTCGTCTGGTCGGAAGTATGGCTGATGCTGGGGTTCTCGTGGCTCCTCGGCCTAGTCATATCCGACACCATAACTTTCCAAAAGGGTGCCATGTCGGAATTCTTTGATGAGCCCAACGTATCCATTAAGCAGGTGAGTCAGTCTTGAGGATGTTTGCCAGTCGGGTGGTGGGAAAGAAAGGCCGTGGGGTTCGAACTTTTCTGACACAGTGTTGTCTCCAGATTCGTTTCGCGTCCAACTACCTCTTCGACGCTGGTCTGTACTTTCCGAAGCTCAGCATGGTCACGATCTACTTTCAGCTGCTCCCACGACACAACCGCGTTCTACGATGGGCTCTTTACTTTACTGCGGCCTTCACCATCGTCGCCTTCTTGGTTGCCATCTTTGTGGATACGTTTTGGTGTGGTGTCAACGTGCCAATCAACTGGTACGCCCGACGCGGACTTCGTGCAGTATGCCTCGACAATATTGTGCAGGGTCGCTAATAGAGAAGCGGTTTATAGGTCCATCGAGCCTGGCGCTTGCGCATCTTACAGTTCAGCTGTGGTATTTAAGCTCAACTGGTCGTTGTGTTTCGTCTCGGAAGTGCTGCGTAAGTCTTCCTCCATGATCACACAATGCTTCTCATCTTCGCAGTCTATGTGCGGGAATCAGACACTGACCAATGGAACAACAGTCTTGCTTCTCCCATTCCCGCTGCTCCAGAACCTGCGCACCGCCAGTCGTCACGAGTTTGCTAGTTTAAATATTCTCTTCGCGCTCGGCATCATCACAATCGCGGTCTCCGCCGGCCGCTTCGCAACCATGTTGGTACTTATCAACGACATCAGCGTTTGTAAGTGTTTTGAAACACCCTCCCCACTGGATCAGCAATCTTCTCAAAGCTCGCGATGGCTGACAATATTCTCTGCTCCCTCTCACAGACGTCTGGGCCACCACCGAATTCGCCGTCAGCCAAATCATCGTCTCATCCATGGCCCTCCGCCCTCTACTCAAACGCATCTGGAGCTCCTTCTACTCGAGCAAGGGCAAGCCCACCACGCACTGCGAGTCACGCCGCATCTCGACCGCCAAAGTGTACACGCACCGCACGGCGGTGCGCATCAGCGAAGGGCTGGGCACGCAGACGGACGTCTGGGGTCCCAACGACAGCGAGGTCGAGCTCCAGGCGTACCAATCGCAGCAGAAGCCGGGCACCAGTATCCAGGTGTCGCACAGCCACAGCATCGTCATCCACAGCGCCGACAGCGCAAAGACACGCGCGGACTCGGACGGGTCGATTGAGTCTGCCTCGCCGACTACGTCAGGGGGGAGGGTCGGCAAGCCGTGGTGAGGATATGACCTGGCGGTAAAGGCGGGGCGGGTTTCTGTTTGGGGGCGTACGATTAGCATCAAAAGAAGCGTTGACATTGGGCGGTTTCCTGGTTAATGAACAATACATTTCTAGTCCTTGATATGACACGAGGTTCAACGTGTATGATTGTGACCGTTATATCAGGTCGTCCTAAGAACAGCGAGATGATATGGTTGTACAATTTGGCTTGTTGTCTGGTCCCTGTCAGAAACCAATGCAAGTCCTGGCTCTGCCGTCCAGTGACCGTCGTCGTCGTTCCAAGCCCACACACTACCACGATGAGCTACCGCTTCCCCACGGGCTGATCAGCGTCCGAGTAGCTAAGCCAAAACGTGTCTAAATATATCTCCTGGCCGGTGTGAGACCGCCAACTATAAATGATGGACACACACGAGCAATCACAGGCGTAGCAAGAGTCGGGACATAAAGAAACGCAGCCCAATATGCTTTGTCGCAGATTCAAGAAGCCTCTCCCAACTCCTTTGTGTTTAGCTCAGTCTTGTCGGCAAGATGTAATGTCCAAGCTCGACTCGCAATTAAGCCTTGCTCGTGATGGCTTCGTCGACCGCTACTCCTGTTTCATTGTGAAGTATTCACAGACAAATGCGCAGCTCAGCATCATGACAGCGTTCCGAGCTGCGTCCATCCTGGCGCTCGCGGCCTTGTTCGCTGTAGTCGAGAACAAATTTGTCATGCTCCCGCACTCACCCCCGCCTTTCGTGGGCTTCAACGCCAGCCCCGCCGCCACGGCTGTGGTCCCTGTGCCGGGCCAGAACTGGGTCAAGCCATATCCCGGCTATTAAAAAGACGGCGAGGACGAGTATGACAATTCGGGCGGCTGCGGCTGGACGAAGCGCCTCAACATGACGGCCAACGTGTCTTCGCACAGAGGCTACGATGGCGGACGCGCTACGAGTCAGACCCTCGAGTTGCTACCTCCTCCCGAGCCCGAAAATGGTGCAGTACTGGACCCCGAGATTGGGGACTGGACGGTCGGTACTAACACGACCGGTACCTGGCTTGTGGCTCGCAATGTTCGCCAAGTACTGGTTGCCATTAGGCGAAGGGAACAATGCAGACGGCTCGTGCGACGGAATACTGCCCAAGGAGTGTATCGAAAACATACGCGCCAACTACCGCTCAGCCATGTCTTTTGTCATCGGCGATGAGGGTCGGAAAGGAGGCCTGCAGGCCTCGGATGGCCCAATATAAGAATGGGCGGTGTCGTATATGTTTCTACACATTCTTTCCTGTCACTGTAACTGACGCGCATCATCGAGAAGACCCTCTCCCCCTGGACGCAAACTTCACGCGCAACGCAATACTCGTCTGGGACGAGCCAATCACAGTCGGACGTGATAGGTACGGGGGTTTACGGGCATATGACTTGTATGGAATCCGACCGATTGCTTGGGCCATTATGTGAGGCACAGCAACAGAACTGTTGTTGGCGAAGCCCCTGTGCGAGGGTCACGTCACAGTCGGGTGCATCAGAGCGGACAAAGCTGCTGATGAAATTAAATTGCCATCTGCCGGAGACAAGCTTGGGGGTTCCGTGAAGACCTTGATGTGGAGTGTTGCCGGCGCAGCCGTGGCGTTGCTGGTCTTGTTTGAGTGAATCTTCATTAGATAGCACTAGTCATCTTCACTGGAAATAAACGCGCGCCTTGACGAAATAAAGCTCAGGCAAGACTTGGAGGGTTTATGCTCCAGGCCTATGAGAGCCGTCCGTTCCAACGGGCTAGACCTCGTTTGTGCAAGAAAACCCAGACAACGCGGTTGACGAGTGAGTGAATTGCCACAATGAATGGGCTGCCAAATCAGAGGTTGTTTATAGTTCTAGGTCTTGCCATTATGAGATAATAAATAACCAGCGCAGAAAGACCACACATGCAATCCGCAGGGGCAACAGGCGACTCAATAAGTGATATTGTAGAGGCTTAAGGGAGTACGCACATGGATATACTGCGCCCCATAGCAGAGCACAGGTGGTCGACACATACCCCTGACGAGGCGCTGCAAGGACGGCATTCTGTAAGGTAAAACCAAGGGCCCACTGGGTTCGTCGCGCTATCGGCCAATGTGCCGTCGGTTCGGCAATGGCCAGATCGCGTGCGATTTAGTGAGAAGTCGCCGATCGAATGAGATGCTGTAGAGCTTCGGGCTGGGACAAAGTCACACCGGAGTCCCACTCTTGAACCATTATTGGGCCTCCTGTATTTCAGTTTCTTGAAATCCCGCCTAACAAGGTTAGCTTGTGGCCCCGGACGTACTCTCAGGGTCCAGCTGCAGCTGCAGAGATCTCCACATCGACCTGGCCGGTTTCGTGTGTTCCGGAATTTCTGCTCGTGTATTTCCGTATGTCTGTTTTGCACAAAACGCCACTGTAACTTTTAGGAAGCCATGGCCATAAGCACATTTGTCATCTCATCCAGTGTCCGTGCGACGCGTCCCGTAGCGGGCGGGATGGGACCTGCTCGTCTCCCAATAAATAGATCAAGATCTGCATGCCGTATCAGCAAGAAAAGCGTTCTGCATCCAGATTCGAGCGTTACTGAAAGTTTTAACGGTGGAATATTCTTCTGCCCTAACATTTAACATTTTGAATACTCTAACGACGCCACCACACGATGGACGACCCTCACATTAGCAAGCCTTTCAGGTTTCCCAATGGTGCTACCATCCGTAATCGCCTCGTCAAATCGGCCATGGCTGAGGGTTACATGATACCTGACCTCCTGCCCAACGACTCGTACATTAGGAATTACTCGCGGTGGGCGTAGGGTGGCTGGGGCATGCTCATCACAGGTCGGGCACAATCCAAGCCTTAAGGCAGTGCGCTTTATACAGGCCACGCACTAACACGTTGATGCATTTTAAACTGCACAGGTAACTACATGGTCGACCCGAACGGCCTCAGCCGCCCCGGCGTCTTCCTCGTTAACAACCCAGCTGTTTCGTACGAAGCCCAGCTCGAACGCCTCCGATCCTTTACGACCGCCAACGGCAGCAAAATCATCGGCCAGCTCTGCCACCTAGGCCGCGTAGTATTGATCTTGCCCGGCCCCGGCTGGTGTAGTAAGAAGAACATAGCCCCAAGCCCGCTCCGCATGCCCATTGGCGAGGGCTTGCCCAACAGGGGCCTGGCGGCGCTGCTCTTCGGTACGCCGCGCGAGATGACGCGCGCCGATATCGAAGACGTCGTGGACAAGTTTGCTCGCGCAGCTAAGACCATGGCCGATGCCGGATTCGATGGCGTCGAGCTGTACGGCGCACACGGGTTCCTGCTCTCACAGTTCCTGTCGGTCGAATCGAACTAGCGGACCGACGATTACGGCGGGTCCGCGATTAACCGGACTAGGTTCGTTACGCAGGTTATTAAGGCGGTGAAAACGGTTGTCCCGCCGGGCTTTATTGTCGGGGATTAAGCTCAACTCTACCGATTACCAGACTGATCAGAGTGCCCCGGCGGTGAAGGCGGGATATGCGATGGATGCTGAGAAGCAGCTGCAGGAGGTAAACCAGCAGTTTGCCGCGATTGCGGTAGTGGGGGTCGACTTTTTGGAAGTTAGCGGCGGGACATATGCTGACCCCCGGATGGTATGTGCATACAAGTTGTTTCTCGTTGCTGCTATCTCTGACCACTTTTGGCCTATTGTTTTACACACATGGTTCTACTGGAATGACGGACTGACACGACACCATCCCTACAGGCCCGTGGTCCACCGAAGGCAACCCGCACCCAGGCCCGCGAGGCCTTCTTCCTGAATTTCGCCAAGACCCTGCGCGCCTCGTTCCCCGACGTCCCGCTCATGGCGACGGGCGGCCTGTGTAGCCGCGGTGGCATGGAGGAAGTCGTGGCTGGCGGTGGTGCCGATCTCGTAGGTATTGGCCGCGCCTCGATCCTAAGCCCCTTACTGCCCGTTGACGTCGTGCTCAACCGGGACGTCAAGGACACCGACGCACGTGTGGCGATTCTCAAGTCGAAGGTGCCGTGGTATTTGAACTTTGGGCCTGCTATGGTTAGTGCGGGATACGAAAATGTGAGTGTTCCAAATTATGTCCGTTTGCTCTGTGAATCAATATTATCGCTAATGATTGCTGTTACCCATGGATAGTCCATGTATGGTGGACTTCTGCAGGCTCTAGGCACGGAGTAGGAGGGCAAGATGGTTTGAAACGAAGATATGTTCCGCTCGCCTGTGAAGATATGGCCGGCTCGTGCTTATCCCAGTCTCCTTTGTCTGATTTCTAGAATTTACTTGTATTGCCACCTTTGCTCTATGTTCCAATCCATGCTATGCTTAACTTCAATACAAGTATGAGATGAAACGTGTAGTAGTGTATGTATAGCACGCCGACCCCGGGATTTTGAGGTAATGTCGCGCTAACAGCGGGCCCGAGAACAGCCGGATCAAAGACTGGTGATGCATCTGTAACGACCCAAGCCAACAGGTCGATTGTTTAGGCTGCAGGCAGACAAGCAAGGTCGCAGGATCGGGCCAGGGACAAGGGCAGATCATATAGAAGGCCAGATGCAGGATTAGGTAAAGGACCCGATAACTCAGCAACCGTGGAGCGGTGCTAAGACTTAGAGAGCGGCACCGCACCACAAGAGCACGGAGCCGCACCACTATGGAGCGGCACCGCACACAGCTCAACAAGGCATCACGCGGATGCTCAGGAGCTAAAGGACGAAGGATATATAGGTGGAGGATTCCCATAGTCACAGTCATTACCTTCGTACTTCAGCGATCAATCTAAGTATCATTCTCACACATCACTTAAACCAGTCACTCAATTAACGAGAGTAGTATCTCTTCCAAGAGATACGGCAACCCCAGAGAGAGAACGACATTCGACAGGAAGTAATATTGCAACGGCTCTACCTACCCGCAGGACAGCAACCGCCGAAGCCCGACCAGACGGTTAACCCCGGAGGTCGGATCGTGACATATATCTACTAGGTACCTAGGTATATATTCTTTAAGTACCTAGGTAGGCAGCTTTACTATCTAACACCGGGATGCAGTCACGCCAACATAGCACCCCAGAACCTCCTAATGTTTGCCAAGTTCTCGCATTTCCCGGCAGAGGTCAGGTGTATGATTTGGTAAGAAGCTAGTCTTACTAAAGCCTAACCCGGAGTCTGTGTTTTCAAACAAAGCAAGTCGACCGACAATGGTTCGTATTCCGAGCGGCCGTTACTAGAAGTTAGCATAACTAGACTACCAGCCATACTCTCAGTATCCACCGAATCTAGAGTAATCGCCATACGAGTCCTTAGACTTCAGTACACTAGCGCCAGCAATCACATCAGAAGCATAGAGAAGTAAGCTTATAGCCCCTAGAAGCGCCTCTATAACCCCGAGAGGGCAGGAAAGGGTCGTATTATTGCAAGACTAATTCTTGAAGAACGAACGACTCTCTCGTTCGGCTTCACGCGATCTGGTGCCTAAATGGCACCGTATCGATAACGCAACAGTGCAGGCCCCAGTGGCTGCACTGGCGCAGCACCGTGGCGTTGCACGGCCTGGCAGGTTTGTCGAGACGGTGCCGAACTGGTACCGCACCGTCCTTCCGGCACGGCCTTACAGTAGGCTATCGTTTTATATTGATATCCGAGTATTAGTAAGAGATAACAGGCTACGGCAGGTACTCCTAGGCCCTGTTAGCGTAGTTCCTTCTATGCCAGCTTCTAGTAGCAAGGCGCACGAAGCGGTAAAGTCGCGTAATAGTAAATATTAGTATTCTAGCGGAGGGTTACCGCTGTGACGACCTGAGCCAACAGGGGATTGTTTGGGCTGCAGGAGCAAGACAAACAAGGCCGCATAATCGGGCCATGGACAAGGGCAGACATGCGAGGGGCTCGGCTCCCAATAGGCGCACGGGTACCCGTGCGTATAATATTACACGGGTACCCGTGCAGATTCTGCTTACAGCTTAGCGTGTCTTAATTTCCGCCGACATCGCAATCCTGGATCCATATCCGGGGTGCACCCATATCAGCAGAAAAGGTCTGTCTTGACCTTCGCTAGTGACCTCAGGTGCTGTTTGACCTCCGATCACAGTATGTGCGTTGCCTTACACGTATAACGTATTTGACTTAACCTTTAACTATAATACACTCATCATCATCCCGGTGAAGAACTTGCTGCTCCTCACAGTCCTGTGCCGCCCTCCTCCACACATCACCCATACCTCTTCGATTAGCTAGACCGCTTGTCGACTCCTGGGCAACCTGAGCATCGATTCGCTCCGTCTCAGACCGATCCCAGTCCAAATATGCCATCATTTCTTCCCTTGTCCAGGCCCGTTCACCCTCTCGCGTTAAGCAACGCCTCGTCATTTGCTTATGGTCTAAGCACCAATCGTACTGCGCTTTACTATACCGTAATGGTAAACCCATTGCCTGCCGGTACATCTGGTTGCTCGCATAGGTACCCGGGAGTAGGGACTTCTTCCAGATCTCTCGCGTAGCGACGTATCTTTGGTAAATCGCTTTTGGGTCACTGTATTTTAAAGGCTGCTCCGGAGCTTGCTGGTGTTCTTCGGCGTACTCTGAGACGGGTTCTTTAGCTCGTCGTAAGGGCTGGTCGTTTTCTGAGAGCCGAGCTTCGATCTCTTCTAAGATCTGTTCCGTAATCCCTTCTTGGGCCGACGAGTTATTAAGAAGTTCGGGAATTGGCGACTCATGTTGAGGTCTGCACGTCGATAATTCAATCGTAGCTTCAGGTATCGACGTGTCGGCCGGCGGCTCTGGTGTTATTCGTAGCTGTTGCGATGCCGCCTCTACTCGAAGTTGTAGCTCTGCGTACTTTAGGGGGCATAATCGAGACGTCCTTGAATGACCTAGACGGTGACATCTAGTACAGGTTGAAGGTCCCTTTCGCTTAGCCGCGACTTCAACAGCTTCAAAGCCGCTAGGCTCCCTTCGGTTACTTGATCGCGGTAAAGAAGTGTTGGTACTAGTCATATCAATACGTTGGCGAGGCTCTTGGAGAAAAGGTTTCGCGCCGCTCCGGATTAGGTGCCAATGCGAATGGAAGTCTCCTAGGTAAAGGGCTTTTCCTTCGGACAACAAAGCCTCAAGTTTGTGAACGCATGGTAGGCCTTGCGACCGAGAGAATATGCCTGTACAGCGTTGTAGCGGACTGCTCGTCTGGAGAAGCTTCCGCTGCTCTTCAACCTTTCGAAGAGCCTCGTGTGATACCCAACCCCGTACTACACCATAAAGTGGACCGGAAAGTTCGATCGGAGACCGAATCTGCTGTTTTGCCTGGTTGGACCTCAGCTCCCCAAGTTGGTTTATTAGCGCATGCTTAATAGCCCTCCAGGCCTCAAACAAATCGAGTGTCGACGTTTTCAGATGACTTTTAAGAAGCGCATGGACACCTTCGACGCGCGAAGTAACAACATTACCGAAATGAGGGTAGCTGTCAACCCAGGCCTTTACAAGCTTTTCCTTATACAGGTCAAGCCATGTTTCTTTAATGTAGGCCACGTCCCGTACATGCGTTGTAATATAGCGTTGTTCAAATGTCGACATACGGATGTCGAATATTGCCTCGGTGGGAGAACGAATAATTTGGTGCCAGTGCTGGTAAAAGTCATGCCACTCTTTCAGTCTCGCAGATTTGTCGGCTTCGGAGTCCTGGAGTTGTAGCTGGATAGCGAATGAAGGCTGACAGTATCGAAGGACGGCTTTGTTCGCATGCCAAAGGCATAGCAATGAAGCAGCAGAAGGAAAGCATACTGCGATTGCGTTGATACAAGCAAGACATCGATCGGTAAGAATAACTGAAGGTAGGCGGGATTTGCTAATTTCGTAGAGTGACCGGAGGCGCTCTAGAGCCCAAACGAAATCTTCCTCGCTTTCTCCACTAAGAAATGCGAATGCGATACAGAAGGATCGTTGAGAAGCGTCTACTCCGATTATATCTAGGAGCGGCATTCCGTATTTGTTCGTTTTGTAGGTACAGTCGAGGATTAAAACATCCGGATAAGCTTGAAGATAGCTTAGCGACTCTGGATGGGCGAAAAGCACAGCCTTTACGCGGTTCTCCGAATCAAGTTGTAAACGGCTCCAGAAACCTTCATGGTCAAGCCGGTTAGCTAGGGCATTGATCGTGCTCTGCCCTTCGTACATCTCGCGCCTACTGTCCGCGATTCGGTTGTAGATATCTTGCTGCGTTGCAATCGAACTCGTGTTTTGGTGTATGTACGTTCGAATCTCCTTAGGTGCGACGCCAGCATTTGCGAGGCTAGATAGACGAGTGATCGTTTCCGTATCGAGTGCGCGATGCTTAGGATGGGCGGATGGGTGTAAACTTGGCTCGTGGTTGTGTTGGGCAAACTGCGGGTCGGGTCGGTGTCGTATTGTCCATGTGCCGCTGTCTCGTGACTCTTTTGCTAGTACAGAGAACGGACAGTTGGTACTTCGCGTAGATGTTTTTCGCTGGCGCGGTCTTCCAGAGGCGTAGTCGCGACATGATCGATCACATGCATATACGACTGAGAGCCTGCCTGTCTTTTCCTTTGTTGACCTTTTCGTAACAAAGGCGTAGCCTCTTGTGTACGCCCACTCGTTGATAGCTTTAAATAAGGTATCTCGGGACTCGTAGGTGCCTTCCGGAGGGAGACTGTCATCGGGAAATGAATGGTGGGTACTACTAGTAAGTGCCATCGGGAGACAAATCTGAGGCTAGTAATGGTAATAAAAGAAATACACGAAAGCACCTCAGCGCGCTTTTTAGCGCGTAAAGTATTGTATGCTGACAGCACCTGAGATCACCAGCGAAGGTCAAGACAGACCTTTTCTGCTGATATGGGTGCACCCCGGATATGGATCCAGGATTGCGATGTCGGCGGAAATTAAGACACGCTAAGCTGTAAGCAGAATCTGCACGGGTACCCGTGTAATATTATACGCACGGGTACCCGTGCGCCTATTGGGAGCCGTGTGATGTAGCAGAATTATGTAAGCACGTGGCAGACAGATAAAGTGGGACATTGGCATCCTCACAGACGAGGGCAAGTCCCGGCCTCGAGTATCTCACAATAGAGCGGCGCAGCTCACTCTAGTACATTTGTAGAAAATTGCACCATCACTGGCGGCTTGGTCAGGGTCATGTGTAGAGCTATGTGGCGTTTTAGCGGATGCTACCACAGACTCCTGGCACAAAGAAGGAATATACAAGAATGCTCGTGGAAGCCGGAAGTCCCTCTTTTCGCCATCTTATTTTCTCCTAATGCGCGGAAAGTACACGGCATTACCTGACTCTCATGTCTTTCGCCAGCTGCAAAGAACAGACCGCCTTTCTGTGGCATCATTAGTTCCTATCTGCCGTGAGGAACTGCCCCGACAAAATGCACTGTTATTAGAGTGTAGAGTCCCGATGATGACTTGATCCCTAAGCTATCGTCAGGCCCCTGCTGGATCACACGCCAATGTAATCAAGGTCTCGAACACGGTGCAAATATGGATTGGCGTGAGAACAGTATCATGGTAACACTATCCTTTGGCCTCAGCTCTATCAGGTGCCTTCACTGACGATTACGCGCAGGCATCTCTATACCCCGTTTGGGATTTTGGAAACGACAGGAGCTTCGCGGCGGAGGAAGGGTTACTGGGACAATAACACACCAGACGACTTCGACTATATGTGTGGCAGTAAAGCCCTTGTGACGGGCAGAAGACACATCAATGCGAGAGTAGACAGACTCAGATCAATAATGACGCAATCTACACCTCATCTCTGCAGTAACATGACATACATTGCAACGATTGACGCAAATGAGCTGACTAACCGTACTCATAACAGGTATGCCGCTCGCAGTAATCTAATGATGTTTGGGCGGGTAAGTCCGCTCCCACGTTCGCCTTGGTACTAATGTCTACACCTTGGATCGCACGATATCAGGAACGTTGTAGTTCTGGTAGGCTTGTGTCTTGAAGGCTGTGATTTGGACTTGAGCACACTTTGTACGTAAGAAATCATTGACGAGAGCTCAGATTGAGAGAACTACCACCAATAATAAACTCCACTATCCGCAGCCGCCGTGCCATAAGTATCAATCAGCTCAATGTACCCATAAAGAATCGCGGGCAGTAACTACGGACACATACTATGCGCGCCTTCCGCCCATCTCAGTATCGGAAGACGCTAGGCGGTGGCCACGCAGACTCGGCTGCTTTGATAGCGCACGCTCGGTCCACCAGACAAGACAGATATTGACGCCTCTGGATCCTGCGCACTAATTTAGTCTTCGTTGTAATAGTTCCTGTCACATCGGATCGTCGTCCTGTTTCATCCTAGTCGTTGTCGGAGTCAGCGGCTGTACTTATTGGAGAGGTCGCTCATATCGTTCCGAGGATAATTCCATGCACATGGTAGGCCAGTGTGAGTGCAGTGCCTTCCCCTCTATCTGAATGCGCGGGGAGAGGTTGGCCCGCGAGCCTCTCTCGTTTTTGTAGAGCCATTCAAAGTAGACATGGGCTGGGAGATGGGTAGAATTGAAGTAGTCTTTCACAAAGTCACGCCAAAGAGTTATCTCGGCGTCCCTCTGCCATACTGATATCGACCTTAGACTGAGCCCGTCCACGCTGGCAAGTGCAGTAATGTGTCCAATAGTGACCCGGCAGCACTAGAGGTCCAGATATTTGATGGTTGAGGCATGGTGCCAGACCATGTCCCGAAGCTCTTCAGGGGTGAAGTCAAACTCCCGCAGTCGCAAATCTCTGAGCCTTGGCGCTTGAATTTGAGACCTGCGGAATTCATTGGCGATGATAGTGCCTAGCTCGTGCCGAGCGCATAGATCTACGAGGGGCAAATGGTACTCGCCCTCCACACCTTCCAGTAACAGTCGCTCAAGGTCAGGGCAAAATGACAGGACTGTACGTAAAATTAGAACGGTGTGGTCTATTGTGGTGAACTGGACCCTCATTTGGACACTTGTGACGTCGCCAAACAAACGACTAGGCACTGCGCCGTGAATGCTGGAGCCCCGGAGTGGAATGCCATCACTATTCACACATCTGAGGTCCGCGAGCTTTCCATGATAAACGTGCCCTGCTTGACTCGTCACAAGGTCGATTGTCGATCTGAGACCGCGGCGCGTAATGTCCAGCTCTTCGTGATATGTGAGATCCCAATGGTTGTTACCAATAACATTATGCTGAAGTTGGTTGTCAAGTATCGGCTTGCCAATTGGTCGCCACTCGTAGGAGGTGTGTATATGGACGCTTTGGAGACACGGTAGATTCTGGACTGCGGCATTCAGTATTAGTTGGAAATACACGAAAGCTGTCTGGAGAGGTGGCTCATCGTTGAAGCCAGCTGTGGGATTCGATCCAGTAGGAGTTCAGCATTTGCCCGGCTAGTGTCTTGATGACCCATCATCCTCGCGGATACGGACGACGTTCGCAGAGTTTGGTAGTCGCCGGCTGTACGTTAGCCACTCCCTTAGCCGCTCCGCCGTGCTTGGATACATGATCCAGTGTAACTCTCGTACGAGCTTGCGGAGAGAGTCATCCGAGGCGAGCGAGAGGAACGTGGATGGATCGTGATCGAGTAGTACGAGTCGCACATGCCGATAGAGTAGCCTGCGTACGGTTTCATCGACGCGGAGGCCACTCTCTCGAGCAGATTTGAGATGCTTCCCACCCAGACATTGCAAGATCAAGTCGAGGATCTCGGGGGAAGCATCTGTAGCGCCGGCATGGCTGGTTCCTCCCACAGAGTTTGGGGCAGCTAGGTCGTCTTCAGTGGTGAGCAACTCAATCCGTTAAAGAGGTGGATGCGCTCGTGGTAAGTGATTGATAATACCATGCGGCATCGAAATGTCTGGTGTCTGGCGGTGTAGGGCTAGGGTGTGGGAGACCGCTGGAGAGTACGGGTGGGTACACCTCAGCAGGTGCCGTGCCTTCGGGTCCATTTCGACAAGGTTTCTTCAAGCCTCGAGTGAGCCATTTCTGGCTTTCATTAAGTACCTCCACCAAGTAGAAGGTCGCTCAATGTACCTCCAAGACCTGGTTGGTGGATCATGGAGCAGAAATCCAGAACCGGATTAGCCACCCCATCTGACCTCATCCGGTACCAACTGGCAGAACGTCATACGCGCCAGAACTTCGGGTTCGTCCACCAAACAGCAGGCAGCGTGCACTTGTGTCAAACATCGGGGGACGTCGCTCCAGGATGTGTAGTCTAAGCCTTCGTCCGGCCCCTAGATCTCGGTGTAGATGGATGCGCGTTATAAAGAAGGAGCTTGGTCCAATTGTGATGCCTGGCCCTGGGCCGTGGGCTATGGAGGATACCTCCTGTGCCACAAGCCAGGGAGGGATAACCGTGAGGCGTCTTCATGGAGGGACCTGTAAGAGTCCCGCTTTTGGTCAAAGGGTCTCTTCGAGATACGAGTGACGTAGAGGCTAGTCAAATTACCTCACCAGCCCTACGCTAAACTGTCACCGGGAATCATCCACCTATGTCGGCCTAGGCTTCCCGGTCGACCAGGGGGCTTTGCAGCCTAGGTTGCGATGTCTCAGACGCATTGTGTTCACAGACAACGGTCCTTGGCCCCAGAGTGGCCTTGGATGGGTATCTGAGGAGGTGGAGCGTCCCTGGACGCAAGCAGTCCTGGGGACTTCGGGACACCTGGGATGTAGGGTCACCCAGGATATCGCGGGTCCCAAGAGACATGTCTCAAGAGCTTTTTCCTAGGGCACAGGTCGACCCCGGACGTATTTTGTCCGCTATGTCGCAAGGCGCAACACTCATCCGAAACCGCTCTCACACGATCATGCGGGAGGTTCACCATAAGGGTGTCGGAGTCGAAGACGACGAGGACGCGAACGGTACCGCTCGGCTACTCATACGCCAGTCCAACGAGAGTCCTCGGAGATTGACAGCTGAGGAGCGCCGCCTGAGCCAGATGATCCTCAGCACACAGATGCGCAGTATGCGCCTCATTGGTAACAGCAACCCGCGGTATCATTGGGACCGCTACTGGAAGACCCAGGAGCAGCTCAAGTCCATGCCAAAACCCGTCCGCCAGTACTATGAGCGGAGCAATGATCTTATTCGCATGTACTTGTACATCGACCAGCTCCTCGAATCCTCCGTTCCCCATGACCTCCTCAACGAATATTGCGAGTCCCTCAACGCCTCCGCCTTTCGCCCCATAGATGTTCCTCACACCATCTCCGAGGGGCCTCCCACTCCCCTGGACGCCTCTCCCAACAGCCCCAGCCAGCTCGCCAGCCTGGCGGCGCCAGAGAGTGAGCTGAACAGCACCAGCGCTGTCAGTTTTGCCAATGATACCTCCAAAAAGAAGCTGCCGAAGCGCAATCCCAGGGAAATCTTTCGGTCCACGGAGACGACTCCTCTTCTTTCTGCCGTGAATCGGGACCAGGTCATCCATGACGAAGAAGACAGCCTCTTAGACGGAGATTACCCCAAGCCTGAGATCCCTTGGCTTCAGGACTCTGACCTGGACAGCGACGACCACGTCGTGACGCTCGCCATTTGGGTCAACTTCATCACAAACGCTGTTCTCCTTCTTAGCAAGATCGTCGTCGTTCTTTCCGTCCCCTCCATCTCCGTTCTCGCCAGCGTTGTCGATGCTGCTCTCGACTTTCTCAGCACAGCGATTGTCTGGACAACCACGCGCTTGATCGCCGCGAGCCAGAATGACCGGCATCGCTATCCAGTCGGCCGGCGCTGTCTTGAGCCCGTTGGTGTGCTCGTGTTCTCTATTGTCATGGTCACATCTTTTTGCCAGGTCTTCCTCGAGGCGATTCAAAGGCTCGCCTCCCCAGACCACTTCATTGTCGAGCTGTAAGTCTTTCCATTCGCGCCACTTCATGGATGCTATTATGGTGTGGAGTCGCTCACACACCCTTGAACTGCAGTGGAATTCCCGCCCTCACCATCATGATCGGCACGGTTGTCATCAAGGGGGCCTGTTGGCTCTGGTGCCGCATCATTAAGAACTCCTCCGTCCGCGCTCTCGCCGACGACGCCGTGACCGACGTCATCTTCAACGCCGGCTCCATCTTCTTTCCAATCGTCGGCTTCTACGCTAAGATATGGTGGATGGACGCCCTAGGCGGCCTCCTTCTGTCTCTCATTGTCATGGCCAACTGGAGCCAGACCTCGATGCACTATGTCCGGACCTGACCGGCTTCTCAGCCACGTCTGACGAACGCAACCTCCGTGAGTTCAAACGATTTCTGAAGCACTAGTTTGACGTTTTGCCGCTCAAATCATGGCTTTTTTGCTCTTCCCTCATATGATGGCGCCGGAAGCTAACGCCTTTGCCTCCTCTGTCCACAGTCCTGTACCTCACCAGGCGCTTCTCAACCGCCATCAAGCAAATTCAAAACCTGCGCGCCTACCACGTAGGCGACAAACTCTTCGTCGAGCTCGACATTGTCCTCTCGGCCAACATGCCTCTCAAAGACAGCCACGACCTCGGCGAGGTCATCACGTACTTCCTCGAGGCCGTCCCGGTCGTCGACCGGGCGTTCGTCCACGTCGACTACGCCACCTACAATCTACAGACACATATCAACACCTAAAAGGCTGCTTTTCAAATCTGAGCGTTGTGAGACAGCGGTATGTATCACCATCATCTCCGAGCATCTTTGGATCATGCAAACTCATCTCTGACGTCGTCGCTGGTTCAGATTGACGTCGCAAGTCGCGATTTGGCAGGAGTTAGAAAGGATAGGCGTATGAGCTTCTTTACCTGTTAAATTTATGATCTACATGACAGCAAGCGACAATTTGGGTACGGCGTATCTATGTGGACATTTGGTCAAAGAGGGTATTATTAGTAGGCAAGCAACAAGCATAAGGCGAAGAAATGAAAGAAAGCTGGCCCGAACTGGCCTCTTCCAGGGGCGACTCGGTCAAGAATCGTCCCGCTGCAAACCAGACCATTCTATCCAAGCCTCCCTCCCCGTCCGCGATCACTCCTCTACTGACAGTCTTTCTAGCTGTTCTGTGTCTATGTACTAGTCAGGCCGCTGCTGGCCCTCCTCTGCTTCTGTCTGCTGATTATCGCTCGTCGACGCTATGTATATGTGAGTACTTTGGACGGGACCGCCCGGAATTGCCCGAGGAGCTCTGTCCTGAGGATCATCTTTGCTGCTCGTACTGCCATGGTCGAACTACAGAGTATGCGTTTGACGTCCACGCATGGTTGCTTGCCTGCCCACATCCGGTATCGTTCGTCTGCCCAGTCTCTGCATTCAAGGAGGATGTGCCGCACCGTTTGCGGTCCGCGGTCGCATTCGCACCGGTCGGTGTCGGTCTTGTTGATGGAATGGAGATAGGCACGTTGTGAATCGACTGAAGGCTCAATCGAATCGGGATCGCGGAAAACCTGATCGAGTTGCGATTGAATCGACTTCTCAATCGCCGATCTCAATCGCCGACTACCTCGACCAGTTGATCTGCGGACCACCCTGGTTGGGCATGCGTGTACAAGAGCACCATGCGGCAAGTTCACGGCAAATACATACAATGCAGAGTTACCATCATAGTCGAGTCTACCGAGATGCCTCGCGGGGTTGACAATTGACAAACAGAGACCCTGAATGCTCCAATCCGCGGCTTATCATGCCAGCTGGTTCTTAGTCTTCGACCAGGTTGATCTTCAAGCCACCCGGCGACTAATTCCCCGCAGCTGGCCAAGACACGGGGCCGCTACGAGGACGATCTCTGGGCTTGCTTCAGACGTAGGTACGTTGCTACGACTGCTACGGTGTGTTGGATGGTGGTGGTTGGTGCTCTGTGATGAGAGATCACCGAATCTGCAGAAACAATTCGTCAACCCACCGTGGTTTGGGTGGTCGAGACTAGCAGAGACTGTTGCATGCATGCAGCCTTTCTTTAGCCGGGACTTGGCGGAGCTGGACTCGACAGCTGCGAATGGGGGCCATTGGGCCTTCGCTGTTGCGATCTTTGTGCTCAGTGGCGACATGTGTTTGCTGGCTTTTGTGACGGGACCATGTAAGTGGTACGGATGTCCACTGGTTGCATTGTGTGTCTGAGACAGATCGCGTGCTGTCGGCAGCCACTGAATGTTGTGTAAGTACCTCCCTAGGTCACTATAGCAGTGGTTCTTCAGCGCATGCGGGCAACTACAGCAGTGGGTCCGATTGCGTCAGCGCTGCAGCTACAGGAGTCTGAGCCTGCATCACGGACGCCATGTCTGCGGGGGGGCCGGCGTGCCACATGCAAATTTGCGGACCCCCCTTGAGCCCAGGGAACCAACCATTCATGGTCTCGCGGGCGCAGATGCATCAAGGTTCGTCCATCTGCGCCCGCTTTTAGAGCTCGACCGAATACCTTCCCCTGCCATTGAGACCCTGATCTGCACATGTTAGTGTTCTGCATATCCCAAGGCCTATGGGCGCCATTCCTGCATTCTCTCTCATCCTCCCTTCCTATATCGCCCCTCCTCTACCGACCGATCGTGCTGGATGCTAATGCTTCAGCAAGCAGGCGCCTTGTAGATTTTATCCCCTTCTTGTAAATACACTTTTTTCCGTCATCTGCCCGTCACGGAACCAAACCGCCGCCGGCGCCGCCGTCGTCCGACCCCCCAGCAGCAGAATATCTCTCCGTCCATCCATCCATTCCGTGTCATGCCGGTAGACTCGAGCTCGACCTGACGTACCCGGCCCATTGGATGTCGCCATGTCCTCTCCGAACTTCGGCTTCTGTCCATGGCGGAGGAGGGCTTCGTCTCTGAACTCCCACCCGTCGTCTCGGACACAAGGCGGCGAGGAAGGCCAGCCTACCCCCATCAACGGCTCGGCTCGTCATTCTCTCCCGGGATTCAGTGATTCTTCCAGGATCTTGTCCTCCTCGACTGGCCAAAGGGAGCCCATCCGGTCCTTCATCCATGGACCCAACAGACACCATCTAGGTACGTAGAAACATGGATGCTGTCACCAATTGCTCTACAAAAGTTTGACCAGACCTCGCAGCTCCCGCTGACAGCGCGGAGTACGCTCGCAGCGTGCGCCAGGACACGGCCGAGCTCGCTTCCTACCTCTTGTCCGACAAGTCGAACCCCAAGAGCCCGGCATTCCTCTCTCGTCACCGGTCACAGCCACCGTTGCCACCGACAAGCGCATTACTTGACGACAACGAGGACGATGATGCCGAGAACGCAGTGCCAGGGTCCGTCACGATACAGGAAGTCTCTGAGCCACCATCTCCCGGCGACGAAGAGGTCGATATGCCGGACGAAGGCCCCTCCATTCTATCCAGCTTGTTGCGCAAGTCTCCACCCCAATCGAGACAAGAGTCGTCGCCGGAGCGTCATGCTTCTCTCGAGCCCAAGAGGTCACGGTCACAGGGACGGGGCAGTGAGGATGAAGACGAGGAGTCGCCAGAAGCTACCGAGAACACCCCTCTTCTCATAACGACGTCCCGTAGCATCCAGCGGACCAACGGCAGAAACTCGATCGGGGGAGATATCGAGGGCCAGAAGCCTCAGCCACGGAAAGACTGGCTGAAAGGAGCAAAGAAACTGGGCTACCAAGTCGAGCATAAGCTAGCCCATGCTGCAAAGGCAGCTACCAGCCCTGATGTCTGGAACAGAAAGAACCTGTGGCGGAATGTGGTTGTGGCTCCCCTGTCTTGTTTGCCTGCGGTCGTCGTGGGTCTGTTACTAAATGTTCTGGATGCCCTGTCATATGGTGAGTGGCCTGGAGAAGCGCCCCCGTGGAATCAAGCAACTGACCCGCTGCGAAGGCATGATCTTGTTCCCCTTGGGAAAGCCCATTTTTGCCGGACTCGGCTCGGCTGGCATCTCTATCTTCTACGTCAGCACCATCATCTCACAGCTCACTTTCTCCTCAGGCAGCAAGTTCAAGGGCGTTGTGGGGTCTGAACTTGTAGGTCTCCTCATGTAAGCCTCTCATATCTCATCCTCTCTAACCCCGGGATCCAGATTGAAGTAGTCCCTTTCTTCCATAGCATGGCCCAGACCATCACCGACGTCGTCGGTGAAGAGCTTCCTGATGCAGTAATCGCAACGACCATAACCTCCTTCGCCCTAAGCTCCATGATGACCGGGCTTGTCTTCTTCCTCATGGGCTACTTCAACTTTGGCTACATGGTTGGCTTCATTCCACGACATATCCTCATCGGATGCATTGGGGGTGTCGGCTGGTTCTTGGTTGCTACTGGCTTCGAAGTCTCAGCTAGAATGAGCGGCAGCCTGGAGTATGACCTGGAGACCCTCAGAAAGCTGTTCCAGTCGGACACCGTCCTGCTCTGGGTCTTCCCTCTGATCTTGGCCATCGTCTTATTTTATGGCCAGTCCAAAGTGGCGTCCAAATATTTCCTATCCATGTACATCATCTGCATCCCCATCTTCTTCTATTTCTTCGTCACTGTCATAGACTCACTTCACGTGGATCCGCTTCGCGAGAAGGGATGGATCTTCGACGGCCCGCCCGCCGATGAGCCTTGGTGGTACTTCTGGACATTGTACAGTAAGTCCACCCTTGTGGGTGAGAATGGAAAGAAGATTACTGACGACCGTGTGCAGAATTTAATCTTGTTCGGTGGGACGCAATCGTGGACACGGTTCCTGCGATGCTGGCCCTCACGTTCTTTGGCATTCTCCATGCGCCCATCAACGTGCCGGCTCTGGCGTTGCAGACCGGCGAGGACCACGCTGATCTAGATCGCGAGTTGAAGCTGCATGGCTACTCCAACTTCCTCTCTGGTCTGGCCGGAAGCATTCAGAATTACCTGGTGTACGCCAACACGGTATTCTTCATGCGGTCTGGCGGAGACAGCAGGCTTGCTGGTGTGATGCTGGCTGCATTGACGTTTTGCGTCATGATGATCGGACCTGTGATCATCGGATACATTCCGGTCATGATGGTCGGGTGCCTCATCTTTGACTTGGGCTTTGAGCTGCTGCTGGAGGCTGTCTGGCTGCCGCGGAAGAAGCTGAAGGTGGCCGAGTACCTTACGGTGAGTTGGTCTGAGCTGTTCCCTGTCGGCGGTTGTTAACATACTTATCTCCAGGTCGTCGCCATTGTGCTCATCATGGGCATCTATGACTTTGTTGTTGGCATTGGCGTTGGAATACTTCTAGCCTTCGTCTCGCTCATCATCCAGACGTCGAGGGTTTCGGCGGTCCGGGCGAGCTACAACGGCGACATCGTAGGGTCTACCGTGCGAAGAAACCCATCACAGCTCAGATACCTGCAACAAGTGCGCAAGCAGATTTACATTGTCAAGCTCAGCGGATTTCTCTTCTTCGGCACCATCGTCAGCGTTGAAGAGAAAATTCGGGCACTGATCGACGATGTGGCATTCTCAGAAAAGCCAATCAAGTTCTTGATCCTGGATCTGTATCATGTCAGCGGTCTGGACTATTCTGCGGGTGAAGCCTTCAACACCATCAGTCGACTGTTGAGCAACAAGGAGGTTGTGCTAGTCATCAGCGGCGTTGATTCCGAGAGCGCACTCAGCCGCACTCTACGCGCGGTGGGGTTGGGCAATGAGAGTATTGATGTGGCACTGTTGCCAGATCTCAACTCGGCGCTGGAGAGCTGCGAGAACGAGTTGCTCAAGACGCTTTATGCGAGCGAGGAGGAGTTTCACGGCCAAACACGGACTGCACCGACGGCCAACTTGGATATCCCAGGAAAACCTGCATTGGGATCCTCTATGGACAACGTGTTTAACTCGCCTCGCCGTCACCATCTGCACCAGGCGGCGCATGACGCTCTCACCAACACCGAGTCGGAACGTACGAGCCGCTGGCGCAGTTTCAAAGAGCCACTGCGCCTGATCCTGCAGATCTTCCAGAGCGTAAGCTCCAATAACGAGGACTTCTGGTTCAGGGCTGTGGGATATTTCAGACGACGCGAGTACGCTGCAGGGTCGAAACTGTACAAGCGCGGGGAGCCGGCGGACGGGTTCTACCTGGTTGAGAAGGGCATCTTGCGCGCCGAGTACGATCTGCCACAGGGCTGGCGGGCGGAGAGCATCGTGGCGGGAACGACGTGCGGTGAGCTACCGTTCTTCTCCGAGACGGACCGGACAGCGAACGTGCTGGTGGAGCAGGACTGCGTTGTGTGGTTGATGGACAAGGAGGGGTGGGAGAAGATGCAACGTGAGGAGCCGGACGTGGCCCAGGAGTTGTTGAGGATCTCGCTCAAGCTGACGAGCGAAAGACTAAGCTCGATTACTTCATATGTACTGACCATGGCGGGGTAAGGGGCTCAAAAGGAGTTGCGTGTACTTTTAGGCCGGGGCTAGGAATTTGTCAATAACGTCCCACACCTCTCTTTGGGCCACCCCCCTCTTTGAGCCACCCCAAAAAACCATCACCAGAAATCCGCCTCTATCTTCAACCCTACTTTTCAACCCTTCGTGCTGTAACTATAATACAGTCTTCTGCTTCACTAGGTAAATCAGAGGTACTGGATCCATCTGTACTATCGTCTTTATCGCCAGCTTCAATCTGGGCCCTGTAGATTGCTTCAATATGTAACGGGCTGGGCCCGATAAGGCCTGGGCAAGGCACTCGGCCAACTGTTGCTCAGCCAACTATCGCGACCATCGCGAAGACCACAGAACGGCCCAAGCGGGAAGACTTCTTTCATGAGGCTGGAACTCATCCAGCCTCCATTCTTGTCCGTTTTCTCTTTAGGATTAGTTTACTCGTAGTAGTCGCCATAGCCTGTTGTAATACACACGGATGGACGGTTACAAATATCGGCAAACTTGGAATTGGGGCTGATCTGCACCCTCTTCTTTTTCCTGGGCCTTACTGCTTCTAACTGTGCTTGCGGCGGTCCGGCTCACCATGAAGATGGCAGCGGCTCGCTTAAGCAAAGCATAGTCATATTGAAGTTGTCTCTAGCCCCACGATGCTCGGAGGACGACTAGTAGTTTACTGAAGACCTCCTTGACGAGGCTCGGAACTATGAGTAGCGCCGGCCTGGAATTGGGTCTATTCTGAAAGCTTAAACATGATACAATATACGGCCACGCAAAAGGCGTGAAAACATCGGTCTAGTTCCTAAGCTCACTTGTAGGTGTCCTGATCATCCTCCACAGGCGAGCCTGGAGATCCAGCTTGGCGAGGGGACGGCGGCTCTGTGGAGGGGACCGAACCACGTGACGAAAGCTGTTGCACAGGATCGATCACGGTCCTATGGGGCAGCTGCTGTGCCGCGGGCCGCTTCCTCGAGTTGAGCTGAATGTTGTTGGGCCCGGCTTTCGCTCACGTCTGCATCTCTTTGAGTTGAGTAGCTCCTCGGCGCTTGTAGTAGCTGCAGCGGCCGCCTTCTGTAAGTAATCATTTTCGTAGCCCTAGTATTCCTCGTCTTTGATGCCAGCCCGCACCTCGGACGGGTTGCCACCTAAGGCCGCGTGAAGCTTGCCGCAGCTATCTGCAAATAGGCGCGGATCTATACAGGTCTTGATTGCGTCCAGCGCGTGGAGATATGCGTCGGATTCCTTGAGCCAGTAGTCTCGGAATGGGATTTGGTCGCGACATTGCTGGATCTGGACCTCAGAAAGACCCGAGCGAAGGATTGCAGATCTCAAAGCTTGGGAATTCGGCTTAGGACTCAGCTCGACCGACGGGGTGCGACTGGCTTGACGCTGTTGAACTTCGTCGAGCCGTGCACATAGGTCGCGCACCTCAATAGGAAGGCTCTTATTAGACATACTCGTCATGCAACAGGGAGCTTGTGATTTTCCTGGGTAGAGTGCCGAGCCAGAGTGTCGAGTGGGTAATAATCGAGGATGCCCACGTCTGCACCCTGGCAGCGCGCCACCCCCTGTGTCATCGCGCGTCCGTGTCAGCAGAGGCTACCTCTAGCTACCCCGGGACTTGGTACACTACATTAGAGCAACTGCGTCGCGGCACGAACACCATCCTGCTTGCATTAATTGTACGCGCTTGCGTGGGTACTTGCCTTGGTTTAGCTACTTGCACGTGCTTCACAGGCTTCCTTTACCAGCACAGCGACCCCGCAGAACGGAAAGGTGGATGGTAGTGTGCTGGGAAAACTCTCGACGCCCTGGCGGCAGCACGCAAACCATGATCAAGCACCCCTTGCAGGCTCGTTGCGGTGCACAGCTTAGCTTCTACATGATGAACCTCAACAGGATAGAGTCATTGGCCACGTTGAAGATCACTACGTGAAGCATCAGTGGGAGGGAGAGATCATCATTCGTAAGACCCAATCCTGTACACGGCAAGCTCAGAGCGAGGAACTTATGATGTAAGACCGAGCAAGATTTGGTGTTCTGCAAGTACCTCAAATATATTGTCGAGGAAGTCCTTTCGCGCCAGCCCGTCGGCAGGGCGGATGTCACGAGTCTTTCGCGTACCCCTGGACTTCTTGCATGCCGAGCCGGATAGAATGATCCTGCGTTTGAAGACAACGGACTATAGAGGTCTTCGCGTGTCTCCAGTGCTCGTAATGCGTATTGAGTGGCCGAGCTGTAGCTCCGCGCCTTTCGTCGAGGAGGGTGGTATCCTGCCGCCGCCAGCCGACACTGCCTGTCGGCTACCAGCAGGGATGCTAGGACGGCTACCAGGGGCCTATTCCGCCAGTTATCATTGCGACGGTGGCCTGCTCGAGGCATGCGCCGTATGGTCGGTGATTATGACTGTAAGGCGAGTAACTCGTCCAGCAGCTGAAGGTGCGCAAACGGCTTTTAAGCGCCTTTTCTGGCAGTAAGTGAGGGTGGCCCAGCACCGAGACATTCCACACTGGACTGCAATCGATAACGGCTCTCATGACAACTTGCCCGCGTAGGAGCCATTTCCTGCTTGTGCCACTTTCGTCGTGGCCGAACCGCGGTGTGGGGCGACGTTAGTGCAACTTCCAGCCAACTCGCCTGCGTGATCATAGCTTGACCAAGATCTAGACACACCCGTCTGCTTCCCTGTACACGAGCGTGCATGTGAGACGTCATCCAGAGACCTGCCCCTCGCCCTCGCGGCCGTCATACAGTCTACGTGCGGAACCATGACGATATGCCCGACGTGATTCGCGAACAACTGTACGCTGAAGGGCAGCAGTCGTTGGAGCGGCAGAGGAAGCAACAGCATTCCGCCCTTGGCAGCTATCCGCCAATCAACATCACCAACATTCTGCCGGCGCAAACACCCCAGGCATCGGCAGATTCTCTGCCAGAAACGCCGGAATCCGCTGCAGTGACATGCAAACCAGCCCGTCTTAACATCCTAGGGTTACGAGACGTACCCGTCAAGCGATACTGCGAGTGGCAGTGCTCGTAGGTCGGCGACGAAGCTTTGAAGATGGAGGATCGCAAGGCGTGCGACCTCACACTGACCGACGGCCTTGACCTTGAGCAGTTGTATGGAGATCAAGATGCAGGGTTGTATGTCGACGGCGGAGTCAAGAGGGGTGTTGCACGGAGATTCATCAGCGGTATTGAGGTCTGGGCTGAGCAAGACGATGGAGTTTAGAGTCTAGGAAACACTACTATTCTATCTATGCGTGCTCCACAGTGATGCTGGCGTTCCGAAAGTGACCCTCGGCACTGGACGCCCTTGTGCCCACCGTGTCCACGCACCACTCCAGGAACGCCCCAAAGTCTTGCCGGGAAGGTCCTCACGAAGTTGCCAATGTCGCTTGATGAAAGCCTTCGGCTCCGCAAAGAACTCCTCGATCGGGTTCAAGTCTGGCGAGTATGGCGGCAGATAGAGCAGTTCGACGCCAGCATCGGCACAGAGCTCCTCGATTTGGTTCGAGCGATGGAACGAAGCATTATCCATGACGAGAACCGACCTCGGCTCCGGCCACCTACCGCAATGGGGAAGCAGCTGCTCCAGGAAATCTTCAAACACGACGCTATCGGTTGAGCCTTGAAAGACGCGTGAGAGAACAATGCCATCTTGTGCGTACGCGGGAAGAATCTGGTATCTTCTGTCGCGGTGGAACCGCGCAATCTGGACAGGCGTCACGCCATATGGAGACCATCCAGTGCGCCGGAACCCAGTCCGCTTGTCACAGCCAGATTCATCAATGTAGACCAAATGGTAGGAACAGAACTCGAGCAGACGGTGGAGGTAGAAGTCCTGCACATCGGCGCTTCGTTCTTGCGCAACACGACGTGCGACCTTCTTCGACCATCCCATCGCCCTCAACGTGAACGAGCAGGCCATTTTATACTTTTTGTTCGCCACCCCTCATAATACCGCCGCCAAGTCCGGTCCACGTGACAACAAACACAAGACATCTATGCCCCTTAATCAGGACCATGATTACCGCACTGTCTCCCCTGCACCGCGATCCCTGTGCAGAATGTCCCAGAAGTATCTGTTTTGTACGCCACAGTCTATTGATCGACATTGTTAAGTTGTCCATCCCCGACAGAAAGAAAGCCCATCGATGGTCAGCGTACGCAACAGCCGTCCCCTGATGAAGGCCGAAACTCACAGAGACCAACACCGTAGCTGCGAAAGTCGCTAGAATTGTATCACAATCCAGCCTTTGATGTCCGGGGAATCGTGACACGGTAACGATTCCACTTGGTAGTGCAACGACCGTGGTCAGCCGGCCATGCATCGTATGTTGGGATCGATGTGCTCTCAATATATTTCGAGCAATGTTGCCTTAAGCTGCAAATTTTCTTCCGGAAGTTCTACTGATCGAGAGCTCATAGCTTTGTGGGGTTATGAATGACACCTACAACTGATTGACAGGGCTAAAGTGCCGGTGCAGCCGCTTATGCAGGATTACGTGAGTTGCGAGAACCCCCTCTTTCTTCTTGGGGCTGAAAGCCTCGCCACTTCCCAATGTTTGCTTGCGAGGCAAGGGATGGATGAGCCGGGATCCCCAAGAGCATCAAACAAATGTCCACGCGGACAACAACTCGGGTGCCAACCACCACGGCACTGGTCGTCCCGCGCAAGATGGCACCGGCCGGCGACATCCGGACTGTCGCGATCGACTCCATCGAGACGGTGGCCGACATCAGCAGGACCGTCATCGTCAAGGACAAGAATGCAGCCCCTTTCTGTCGCACGCTGCGCGCTGTCTTGTGGACTGTGAAAGGGCATCTCGAAAAGCAGCGTGACAGCCTCGTTGAGGTTGGGAACGACAAGAAGAAGCTCAAAGGGCTCTTGAACAACCTCGAGAGACTCTGTGCTTGGCAATCATCCACCTGGGCCGGGCAGGCGAATACGTGGCCAACACTACAAGCGGCCAGATTCGCGGCAGGAAAAGCAGTCCAGCCGCGTGTATGCCAAACCGATCCTTTGTTCAGAGTGTTGAAGCTATGCCTCGCCGGGGCGAGACGAGTGG